TAAGCACACGCCTTAAGCCCTCTGGACTCTAAGGTCATCCAATTGTTTTTTTCGGCATGAAAGGTGCACTTTACTGCATCAAGACCTCGAGCACTGACGCTGGGGTGTCTTTTGTTGCGAGCTCGAGATATCGAAGGCCAGCAAACGCTTCTAATCGTGAAGCTTAGGGCATATTATCCTACTCTGCTTCACTTTAACAGGTAAACGATTCCCCTCATCGGTCTTTATAACAAGTATATTATATAACATTACTATCAGTATCGTAGTCATACGCATTAGCTTTAATGTAGCCAGAAGTGAAACAGTAGTTTCCACATACGGTTTTGCTCAACGATAAATTCCCCTTCCCGCTTTACTAACACCTAGCCTATTTACTGCTGGATTCCCGTCCCCTGCATAACTTTTATAGGAGCTGTAAGGAGGGCGCGGTAGGTTGTATCCCCATATTGCAGCTGGCCTTGTGTTGAATGCTAGAGGGGTTGGAGTTAGCGTTGGAGTTTGGCTTATGACGGGTTAGGTCCAAAGTTAGAACACGACAACAGGTACCCCCGTGGTTTGGGGCAAGGCTACTCTCAAACACTAGGAGTTCTTCTGCTAGAGTCCAACCGGATTGTGATACAGGATTTGGAAAGGACGAGAGAGGGTGGACCACTATAAATTTTGATGATAGCAAAATGCAAAACATGGTTTCTCTCTCCTTTCCCCTCCACTTTCTCCCCCGGCCGTCGCCATTTTCCGTGGTTCATGCATTTTTGTGCCCCCCCCCCCTCCCTGCGGATTAATAAGGCTTCGTCCACCAAAAATGGGGAGAGGATTTCTTTTAATGAATGGCGATGTCTCATCGCTGTCCTCCACTCATTTTGCCCAAGAGGGTTATCTGGGTATGACATCCTGTAGAGAATATACAAAATTTGGACCTTTTGATAGGCTTTGAGGGCAACAGACGTTTAAAGCTCTTTTTGTCGCTGGCTGTCCCTTCGGAGCAGCGTTTAAGCATTGTCTCGAAGAGACGACTACTCTGTGTCTTAAAGAGTAGCCAGTAATCTCCTCCTCGTCTTCGCTCCTAATATCAGGTAACTTTTTAGGAAGGCCTGTACTCATACAATATTAACAACGAGTCTCCCACAGTTAGCTCAAAAGTAATTTTCTTCTTTAGTTATATATAAATGACATCAAATAGGGAGTCTCCAAGTTAATGACAATAATTTGATGATCCTGCCAACACGTGGCCCAATGGTAAGATTGGACCATGTTTGGGCTAGGTGTAGCCCTAACTCAACCTCACTCCGGATTAAGGCAAACATAATACCTTGTTTCAATTTATGCATTTTTAACCTCTAAGATAAACTATATTAAGACCAAACTACATAAAATTAATTATAAAAGTAGCCCTCACTGTTTAAACGTCCCGTCATGATGGCATGTCTTAACTCCTTCCTAACTTTACCCATACTGCGGCACGTAATATATTGCCTTACGGATGTGTGACATTCCTGTCTGTGGTAATTACGAAATGTGGGAAAACGTTAAAAGGCGAGCTTCCCTGCCCATTTTTGGGAGATTGGGCTAATTGGGCCACATCAGCCCCAGCCACACCGTGGCCCAACCATGTGGCCCAGTCCAACCCAATTGGGTCGAACTAACTGCTTCATTTGTGCAAATCAGATTTTAGAGCAAAACTATGATATTGTTACCCTATTTAATTTTCCCCTAATTAGTCCCCATCAGTCCTCTCATCAAAAAACTCCTTGGCTATCATCTGCGTTCCAAATTCCTTCTTTATTTTTGGGTGATTGGGCCATCTGGGCCAAATCCGTCCTTGCCACACTCTGGTCCAACCTTGCAGTCCAACCCATCCCAACCCTAGCCCACTTTGGCCGGACAGGGCTGGGTTGGGCTGGTGATGGCTGGGAAGGAAAGGCTGGAACTGTGCGTAAGGACGAATGTGCTTTAAAAAATTACGTTATTCCAGAAGTTTCACTTGAACGCGAAAACCCATGATGCATCCTCTATGGATCGACTTCAGCGTGTAGTATCGCATAAAAGTACAGTTGGACTTGCATATTTTTTAAGCCACAGAGAACTCCTCCCGAAAATGTATATTGTCACTGACCGATCTCGCGAAATGTTAAACGAAAATTAGAAATGTGTTTTAGATTAAGAAGGACTAGTTAAGTGAGATTGTACTATTGATTATCATGCAGCATGACTTCAAGATATTTTAGACACGTCAGGATTAATAAACTCGTACTTAGGTGGTATGGATACTTCTTCCGAATTCCGATGTACTTATATATTAGGAACAATTTTAAAAACACAGTCAAAGTGTGCTTTCTTACACTTACTTGATAGCAACTCACTTCTCTTTTAGATTCTATACTCGAAGAAAGGGTATTTTCGGCTCTAAATATTTGTAATTATGGGACTTTTATGATCACGAAACATCCATTTAAGTAGCATCACGTGTGCTCGTTTTTAATGCTCTCAATGAAGTATTAAACCCAACTCATATTCATTGCAACGTTTTATGAGCCTTACTTAATATTTTCTTGATGGCATAGACGAATATGTGATCTTTCTTGCATGGAACTGGTACAGCTTGTAGACAGAAAACCCTAAACGCAAATGCAGCGGCAGATCTGGCTAAAGCGAATTCGGGAACTAAAAGAATTTCTAAAACCTGAGAAAACTTTCTGCTTGGGCACAAACTTTTTAGCGAATATGGTTTCCTACCAAATAAATGCGAGAAAACATGTTTTTTTTATTATTCTTCCTACAAAGTATATTTGGATTTTTAGGGAAATCGAAAATCAATGAAAAAAATTAGACTTAGGTAGTCGGTTTTTATCGAACATGGGTTTGCTGGCTAAAGAAATCTTCATGAATCGAAAGCACAATTCAGAATTTTGGTGAACATTTTATGAGAGAGCAGATCTACTGGAAGTACAAATACTGTTTGAGTACTGTCTTCCTATTCAGTGATGTTCGGGTAAAGATAACAGTAATCCTTCTTGGTCAACGTCGAGAAATCTGTATCGGTTGTGTCATCTCCCAATTCCTGTGAACATTTGACTGCTCACACTCCATCCTAGTGATACATCTGTGTCGGATTTAATGGCGTCGAAATGTTTCCTAGCGTGTATGTGTGACTCTTTACAAAGGTGAGAACATGAACAGGCGCGGCTTTCATGAATCGCTGGCAGACACCTTTAAATACAGCAGAGATTAAAAGAGATTAAGCAAGATTACATCGGAGTAAAGGTAGCTTGAAAGATGGAGCGGATTATCCGCTTTCGACTGCCATACTGATAAACGGAGACTCCAAGCACTACTTAACTCGTACAGGAGAGTATGCTAGCTTTCATCGTGCATAAATTTTTGACCACCTCTGTGAATGGCAGTTGGTGATAAAAGTAGTTCGTAAGTCGTCTCTGTTTCCTCCATCGATTGTTGTTTTGCTCGTTTACAAATTCTGGAAAAAGTGAATTTAATTTTTTGAGACTTCAGTCTTTTGAAACATAGGTCTCTTTGGTGAAAAAAGGTTAAGTATTTCCCTGTTTACCCTGGAAAAAATCTTGCACCTCGGCTCTCCGTTCCGCAATTTTTTTCCACCTTCCTAAGCAGTAACCATCTAAAACCGACAAAAATGCTAAGATTGAGTCCGAACACGTTAGATGCCTCGTAAGTCAGTTTAATTAGCAAACTCTTAGGAGATTTTCCAAAAACTTTCCCAATCTGCACCCTCCTCCCTCAAATGCGGACATTAAAAGAGACGTACTTTCATAAGAAAAGCCCCTAAGGAATTAAGTGACGTCATTGATTGAGCTACAGCATTCGGAACAGTTTATGATGGCAAAGACACCGGTATAATTCTCAGTTTATTGTGAAAACTTGTACTACAGTGAGTTGAAAAGAAGGGTTTAATAGGTTTTAGGGTAAAAGGATGCCATATTAGCAGCGCAGGTACTAGCCAAAAGCTGTACACGCGTGTTTCGCCGATATTCTGCCGCTGCATGACACAGCTGTGAGGGGTTGGGCCCATCAATGGGTCCCCCAGCATTCCCCGTCTGTTTTCTGATAGATACTCTGATTTAGAAATTTTTTCTTTTTGATTTCCTCAGAAACTAACGGCGAACTTGGAGTAGGTCAGTATACTCTAGGGCCTTTAGGCATAGACCAAAATTTAATGCATGAATATCTGTACCGAAGTCCATCAGTCACAACGAATAACCGCGTAATATTCATTAACTGCCAACAGGCAGCTGGTATTAAATTATGGGTTATACGAGTGTCTACAGGAACGGATCTACCTAGGTTTGTTTAGGACCCCAGCATAAAGTAGAGTAGGACTAAGAAGTGACCCCATTTCATAAGGCGTGTTTTTGGCCGCATAGTCTTTTTCGATGTGTGATTCAGGCAAGTAACCGTCCTTCTTCTTAAACTACCAAAACAAAGGGTATTCGTTTTTGCTCTGGCGACTGCATACTTGTTCTTTGTCAGCTGTTAATTTAAGGGTTACAAATCAAAACATTATATCCCCCACTTTATTCAAAAATCTCAAATAATTCCTGTTGGACTCCGTCCGTACTCCAGAATTCGCCTGACTATATTTCATTTAAAAACGTGACTGGAGTCAAAGCAGCTTTGCTGCTAGTCAAGTAGAAGTTTACAGCAAACAGCCACATATCGGTCTCGACGCAGTGATGTTCTACTTACTTCTTACTAGTATTCACTGTAACCGCTCAATTTTATGTTCTCGCAGGGCCTAGTGGTTTTCTACAGCCCTTTCAGTTATAACATACAAAAAGCAGCCAACACTTACCTCTCCTTGTGGCCGATTACAAACACAAAATTCTTCCATGGGCGCGGACCTATACCCGGTTATTCGGGTGCAAAATTCAAAGAGGTCTTAGTATCTATCTGAAATCTTGAAGTTTTCGCCGGCTTAGTGACTAAAGAAGATTGTATGCTAATCCTGCGAATGTGACTTTCAGATCAAAATGTGCTCAGTTGTCCTCCGTATACCGATTATCATTATCAACGTTTTCACTTTGGTGAGTTGTCAAGTTTTTTTAATTTTTCCCCCATAAATTTGCTCTCAAGATGGTCCTAAAACAGTGCAAATTGCATATATAAATAGGCATAATTTGAGACCGTCTTCTTCAGTCAGAAAGTGAAATTATGCAAGGAACCTTAACTTCTACGTGTTATTGTTTTTGTGTTTTGTTTTACCTGTCATCCCCGGCGGAGAGGTAGGCCTGCTCTTATTTATATGTATAAGTAGGCGTTAACGTCTTCTTATTGCCAGAAAGAAGTCCATAGCTTCCGCAGACAAATTATATTTTTCTAAGATTGCTGAGTCGGATTGAGCTGTAAAATACTTTATTTCCTTCCCGCCTCTCTGGATGTAATCGACCATGGCAACATACTAGTATTTCACAAAGGAAAAACAGATGAAACTGCGCTATGTGATCGTGCTTTCACAAAAGGCTGACGTTCTGGGCGCGATTCCGTCATATTCAGCACCCAGATACCCCCAGAGCCCCGACATGCACTTTTGGACACATACTTTGTAAAATTTGTCTTAGATCCTCCTCCAGGGTAAGGAAGTTGGCACTGGGGATTGGCGCAGCCTACAATAAGACAGACAGATTCATTTAGTCAAGACAATTCCCCTAAAGAAACAATCTGACGGGCAGGTCCTGCTTCTAAGTGACAAACCTGGCCAACCAGATTCGTTTGCGGCATTGACTTTAGTAGCTGAACTGCGGTTTTCCGCCTGACTGTACGAGTCTGGTATGAGGGCAAGGGAGTGTGTCCCTTCCGTCGGCTGAATTACAACCGTCTACTCGTATTATCGACGGGGCGGCCAAATTAGAAGTGCGGTCCTGATTTAGGCTGCCAGTGGCCGTGGCAGATAAGCGTTGCAATAACCAATCACCCAATCACATGCATTCACTGTGGCGAGTCACAGTTCACGGGCGAGCAACATTTTCGCGGGCAACTTATAGGTGACATCTTGGAGCCCAGGGCACATCTGAGGAAGGGTTTTGAGGAATTGAAGCGTGTGTGAGTCTATGCTTTTCGAAGGGAGAAAACCGACCTCCCAATGAATCAGCTGGCGACGGAGTGGGACGGCGCAAACAATTAGCTGGCGACGCATCCTGAGAAGGACAGGCGGGGGGAGGGGTGCGGTACAGTAAATAACCCCCACCACCACCACCACCACCACTTGAAGCACAGACGAATTTGTAATTTGAGGACATAGTTAAGAGTCACCATGGGAAGCGGCATACGTCACCCTGATCTTCAATATTCCCAGCGGCCAGAAGGTAATCACATGACAAGTCCTTACAATAACCGAAGAAGATGTGCTTTCCAAGGGCATGAAATACAACCCCTCCGATTCAAACTACCTAGAATTCCTTACAAACTTGGAATCCATCATACCGTCAGAAAAGCCCTCAGATGATGAACGTTTCACAATCCGGAATAACACCGTGCAAGCTCTAAAGAACCTAAACTATTTTTCCGTTTTGTCACGCGAGAAAATGAAGGCGCTGAAAACCCTGAAAACTGACAAGAACACTGTCATTCTTCCTACAGACAAAGGAGGCTCAACTGTTATTGTAAACAAAACAGACTACAATAACAAGATGCTATCTTTGTTAGAAGATAGGTCAACGTATATGCCCCTCACCGTGGATCCCACAAAAGCACAGATTTCATCCATTAATAAAGTACTGAAAGGCCTTGCAGGAAAGAAACAACTACCAGGAGAAATTGCAAAATACCTATGACAAACTGAACCAACAATCGCAAAAATCCATGGACTACCGAACGTTCACAAACCCGACGTACCATTGCGACCGATGGTATCGTTAATCGGAGCACCGAGTTATAAGATTTCTAGATGGATGTTCTATAAATTCTCTCACTTAACAAAGGATTGTGAGACTTCAGTCGAGAATTCTATTGAATTTCTAGACCAAGTAAGAGGACTCACTACTGATACGGATGAGATAAGGGTGTCGTTCAATGTTGTCTCTCCATTCACGTTCATACCACTCGATTTAGCAAGGCAGCGCACAAAAGAACTCTTACAGTCCTACGACATTGATTTTGCTGCATCTGCTTTGCTTGCACTCTTGGAATTATGTCTGGAAACGAACTTTCCGTTCGCACATGAATATTATCGCCAAATAAAAGAAGCTCCTGTGGATTCACCTATTTCTGGATTTTTGGCTAAGGTCACAATGCAAAAAATAGAGGCTACGGCCTTACCATTATCCAATCCTAAATTGTGGGTACGCTACGTAGACGACATCTTTGTCGTCGACAAGAGAGATCAGCTGAAAACACTGCATAACGTTATCAACTCAACACTACCGGGAATTACCTTAACGCTCAAAAGAGAAGTTTATGGCAAACTCCCATTCCTTGATGTCCTCGTACGGCCAAAAACTGACGGGAAATTCCACACATTAGTATACCGCAAAGAAGCTTACGCGATGTTATCCTACATTACGAGAGCAACCACCCTATGGCTCAAAAATGGAGTGCCGTTAACACCTTACTTAATCGAACAAAGACACACTGCTCTGAGAAAGAACGGTACAAAATAGAACTAAATTATCTGTTTAACATATTTTCCTAAAACGGCTACCCTGGAGATTTTGTACGCCGATGCATGAAACAACAGGAATAAAAAGAAAGAGATAATGAACTAGATTGTTCCGATAAGGCGCCAAAACCAAAATAGTGGCGAACGCTTCCTTATATTAAAAATGTGTCTGAACTCGTTGAAAGACATCTGAGGAAGCACCAAATGCAAGTGGCCCACAAACCGACATTTACCCCACGCAACCAGCTTGTACACCCTAAGGATAGGGTTGGCTATTTAGATAAAAAAAAAGAAGTGGTGTCTAAGATTTCATGTGGCACTTGTAATGCGGTTTATTGTGGCCAAATCGGAAAATACGCCTCTACACACCTACATGAACACCATTTGGCAGTGAAAAGACGGGACCACTTAGCCCAAGTTGCCATGCATATTCTTTAAACTAGGCACAGAATTGCTTGGTATAAAACACGCATTGTCGGTTACTACCCGCAGAAGAAAGGCCGAGAATTCCTAGAGGCCATTCACTCTGATGATTCATGCTTCAATCGGCGCATCGATCTTGACGCCATGTACACAAATCGCAAAGGAAGGTGGAAAAGGTGATAGCTAATCAAAACGTGGCCTCAGCCCACAGCGTTGACCCATCCTCAGTAATGACAAATCAATACCGATTTTTCAGGCATGTTTAAATTTTAACTGTTTTGTTCACTCTTGCTACACGTCTAACGACGAGCTGGGGAGGGAGGCTCGATAATTAACGAAATTAAGTGTGTTCACCTTCCCAAAGGACTCATTTTTCTTCGAAATATATGTATATGCAGACAGTAAAAAAGGAGTCTTCTTTGTCCAGCTTGTTGGCGCCTGCATTTGTGCCGCTGGGTTCTACTTCCGCTACAATCCCAATGGACTGGAGTCTATCCTCAGCACCTACATTTCCTCATCACTGTCGGTGAGCGGAACTTCATCATCAAATTCACAGTTTACTTCAGACTTGATATCAGAAATTACTACACTCCTCGGTAAGTGCTGTCTGCTTTTGGAAGTGTTTACTACCTTACGACAAGGAAAAAGGGGTGGTGGAAGCAGACAATCAGAGCAGCTTTTAAGATAAACTTAATGTGAATATAATTTCCACTGGCGGAAGCTCTCGAAGAAGGAGAGATGATCGTTCTTCTGGCGTTCCGGATTCACACGCAAACCCCGCATCAGACGCAGAGTCAGACAGGAAGAGTGAGTGGCACAAGTGTTGCCATATTTATAGGATGCAGGTGCTAGGCAATTTCATGCCTATAAAAATGACCAATCACGCATTCATGGGAGATTTTTTGCAGGATAATGCCTTAACGGCCCGCAGCTGAGTCATTAATTGTCGGATGTTCATCTCTCGTGTGGGCTCTTGGACAGTTTGGAGCATCGCAACTGGCACCGGGAACAGTGTCTTTCCCTGCGCTCCGCGCTTGGTTACCTACTTTGCCTAGGCAACGCCTCAGCGTGTTTGTTAACTGCAGGTCGGAAAACTATGCCTCGATCAGTCCACGGCTCACGCGATTGTCACCTCTCGCAAGAATTTTGACCTCATCGAAACTGAATGTGCGACCGAGGCACGTTGAGTAAGCCGTGACCTGGGAGCTGGCATTGTTCGTCTTCACTGTTGCTGCTGCTGCTTGCTTGGCCATGCCCGCCCGAATTAGTCTTCTACTTTTGCCGACATAGTTGCTTGGCCAATAACTGCATCAGATCCGACAGAGGACTCTGAAGGTTTCCCGCCATTCCGAGAATTTCCATAGGCATTGTAGTTAGCTACATCAGGAGCACGCGAAAAACCACTGTGGCCCAAGAACTCATACAAGTGATAAAATTTCTGCAGTCAACGGCTCGACTGCGGGCAGTTATCATACCACTAGCAACCACTCGCGATGAATGCAGAAACCGCCAATTTTGGTGTATACGCAGTGTCATAGCAAATTCATCCCACAAATACTGCAACACCAGTGCACCCCACTACCCATGCTTGGATCTCCCAGAGGTGATGGATCCGATTGCGAGTCCAAAACGTCAAGCGAATAAAGCTCTTGTTCCTGTCATCTTGGTTCCTTCCTCGCGACTGTTTTCTGGAACTCACCTCTTCGCCTCTAACAGGGGACAATCTCCTCATGCCTGACAGGCCAGGGCTTAGAAGGAAATATTCAAATAGGTAGCCTATGAAAATGCCTCAAAATGCTCTCCAATAAGTCCCCTTTCCTACGCTGTTTAATGCCCGAACACCGTGTTAACCACTTAATGACCACGGTGGATCGGTTCGGTCTTTCGGCGTAACACAGGCGTTTGCTTTAGTCTTGGGGCTGTAGTCTAGAGTCTGCGCATTCGGTCATGCACCGACCACGATAGCCAAGAAGTGATATAGACTATATAATTTAAGGTCGGAAGTGACCACTGCTAGGGACCCGGAGTGGTATTTGTTGATTTATCCTGATTTTGGAAGAGTTCTGTTGGGGAAAGACTTTTCGACAATCGCAAGTATGCCAGAAATGGCATTTTCGACATCCCTGCCTGTGCCGATCGTAGTTCCTGATTATAAAATATTCGTTTAAACTACGTAATGATTGTCATATAGACCAGCCTAAAGCTAGACATAAGAAAGAGCTTCATTCGTTTTTGAGCCCTGTTACTCGAGGCATTGTATATCCTGCCAAACTGAACATATACATTTTATAGTCATAATAACATTGTCGACAAAGGCAAGGGAGACTGGAATGGCCATTTCTGGCTTACTAGTCGTCGTCAGCCAGCCATGGCGAACCACAAAGTGTGCAATCCCTAAGGCTCGATCCCACGACCTGTTAATTAGAAGTCCAACTTCGTAACCACCGAGCCACTGTCTCGCCGTCCTGCCGGCTGCGACGTCAGAGAAGCCATCACGGAACTCGCTCGACCCGTTGTGTCTTGGGGCTCTCTCTCGAGCCTTACCAGCAGCCGTTTAGCAACGCGTAAAATAGGCAGAATAATATTACCGAGAGAGAGAGAGCCGGGAGAAAGAGCCCCAAGGTTCAACGGGACGAGGGACTTCCCTAACGCGATTGGTGAGCATCCCTATACCATTATACAGTAGATGTGCTAACTCATGAAATGTCAACCGAAATTTCGAAATGCGTTCTCGTTTCGAAAAGATAAATTAAGTAGTGTTGAAAAAATAATCATGATGCAGCATAAATCTATAATGATCCAGTTACCTTAGGGTGTCGGCTTTCGAGGGAACTCATTTTCGGCTGCATGCAAGATCTATACTCTGCAAAAAATGAATACTTATGTAGTATGCAATTTTCTCATTGATTTTCGATGCCCTTGAAAATTCACTTATATTTCATGGAAGACATGCATAAAAATATTCATTATTTTACTTATTCGGTAGAAAATCACGTCTCCTTCCAAGTTCATACTCAAAAGAAGAGTATAATTCGGTTTTAAAAAACTTCTCTAATTCCCGAATAATTTTGAACCCGACTTGCTATTACACTTGCATTCAGGGTTTCAAAACTACAAGCTGTATATTTTCCGTATACGGAAAACCATGCATTTCTCTACGGTGTTAAGAGGAGACCATATGAGGTTCATAAAATTAAGCAGTGGATTTGAGCAATATTGTTAACTTTACAAGCCACATTCGTAAATGCAGATACAGGACGTTTCATGAAAGACCACTTAACGGTATTAAAAAATCTCACAATTAGAACCTTTTTAAAACCTAATTATACTCTTATTTTGAGTATGAACTTGGGAGAAAACGTGATTTTCTACCGAAAAAGTAAAATAATGAATATTTTTATGCATGTTTCCCATGTAATATAAGTGAATTTTCAAGGGCATCGAGAATCAATGAGAAAATTGCATACTACATAAGTAGTCATTTTTTGCAGAGTATAGATCTTGCATGCAGCCGAAAATGAGTTCTCTCGAAAGCCGACACCCAGAGGCAACTGGATCATCATAGATTTATGCTGCATCATGATTAGTTTTACAACAATACTTAATTTATCTTTTCGAAACGAGAACGCATTTCAAAATTTTGGTTGACATTTCATGAGTTAGCACATCTTCTGAACATATTATATATGCGTATATGCACACAAAAAGAAGGCTCTCCAGCAAGTAGAGTTGTAGTTGTGAACGTTCAAGCAGATTACGACAATTGAGGTAGAACTTTAAGGGCACAGAAGTACTCTCTTCTAACAAAGAGGTAGTGAAACCAGCTCGAAAGTTCACGAATGCAGATCGATTTTTCCAAAGAGTCTCCTCTTATTAGTTTCATCTCGGAACGCATACCACCTGGGTAATGCGTATGAGCGCATATGCCTTGAGCACGAAGGACGATCATTGAAACTATGGATCTAATGAACCGAAGATTCGGAAGTAAAAATGCTTTCATTGTCAATGGTAGGTTTGTTACGGCATCTCACGGTATTTCAAAGAACATCGCGAGGGTGGACTACGCTCCATGCTCTCGTCTGTATTGTACGTATTATTTGCCCCGGTCCATCAGTGGGAACTTGGAAGGACCCCCAACACACAGGCCCTAAGCTACCACAGTAATCACCCGGTATGCCACACAGCTGCGCGCGAAATACTTGTAAGAGAACAGACACACATTGCGGTGAGACAGGCGACAAGGCAGCCTACTTCCCCTGCCTGTAGCAGATGTTCATTTTCAATGGTCCTCTCTCATCTTTATAGAACGCAGCAGGTGATCTAAGCGAACTATAAAGTAAAAAGCAGAACAACCGAAAGGCTGGTGGGGATGCTGTATAGTGTGAACGTATCCGAAGTCAATGCTCTGGTGAAGAGATGAGACCGTCTATCGCAAGGAGCTATCCACACACTCGAGACAACAATAAGACGTCTGACCGGATGGCTCAGGGCCTCACTCCACAGCAACATATGTCGTGTCCAGTGTAGTTTTTCTGAAGCAAACTATATGTGTATACATATACTAAAAACGGGCATCCCAATAAATGTAATTATAAAGTAATGGAATTCTTTGCGAAAATGTAACTTCTGTTTTGTAGGCCTTCAAGGCTGGGGAGCAAAAAAGATTAACTTGCCATTTATGTTCTTCGCTGCGTATTATTTAAAAATTTTTTCGGCCATTTGAACTTCAAATGAGCTGCCGCAGTTTAGCGTCATCGGTGAATATGGTATTATTACAGTGAAATCCAAAAAGATCAATATTTCCCTACATTCTAAAATTTAAGGGGTCAAGAACTGACCACAGGGACATCATAGGCCACATTTATCCATTCCGGCTGTTTGTCAACGATATTAACTCACTCTTTCCAGTCGAGTGAAAATACTGCTACCCAGTTGAAAGTTCGATATTTTATAGTGTATACTTTAGTTTGTTGGGGGGTGATGGCCCAGGCGAAGTGCAGAGCTGCGTCTAACCCATTTGGGCTTTAAGGGTTGTGTGTGCGTCTCCTATGCCATGACTCAGCAAACCATGGCCTTCGTAGCCAGGTGTGCGCAATGGCAGTTCTCTGGCACCTGGTTCCCTGTCGGTAGATGCGCTTGCACTCCGCTGGATTGCCGATACAAGCGAAGATGCGAATTCCAGGAACTAGTTGATCAGAAGAATAAGCGATCGCTGGAACAAGGGCTTTATTCGCCTGACGTTTCGGATTTTCACTTGAACCCATCATCAGACACAGTGGCAGAAAAGGGTGACTAATGCACAGGAAGTTGCAGTACTTATAGGATGCAGTCGCTATGCTACCGCGTGCATATAGCGATTAATCGCACTCCCCTTCATCAAGGATTGTTGCCATCTGATGCGCTAATTGCTTGATGGTCGGCCTGCAAGTTGATAATTTCTGAAGTCTCATCGCCCGTTTTGGATGCTGGCGTGATGATCGCTCGGCCATCTGGCTCACCGGCTTGCGCGCTCCCCGGGTGGTCATTTACTTTGGCTAGTCTATGTCTCAGCATGGAATATGGAGTGGGGATGTCGTTGCACTTGTTGATAGACTGAGGTCGCGTGAACCATGACCATGAGAATCCGAAACGTCAGGCGAATAAAGCCCTTGTTCCAGCGATCGCTTCTTATTCTGATCAACGATTAACTTATTTGTCGTGTCTGACTAAGTATTCCGCGGTTGACCGACGTCTACGCTAATACGTGTTGGGAGGATTTCGTCATCTGTTCGGGATTGGCTGTGCTCGTTTTAATTTGTCCTTGAGGCTTTTGTACGTGGCATTCAAATCGATATACCGATTGATGTACACCTCATCTGAGTTTATTGTCTCCAAAACTTCATGGCCTCTCTTTACGGGGCGGACGCCAATTTGGTGAAATTCCCATATGTGGAAAATGTATTTCAGCTGGTCGAACGACAGCTAAGCACCAGCTACACGTAACACACAAATCGGTAACTGTCTTACACGAACAGCTTGTACGCCTTGTGAACGAGGTTGGCTACCTTGATAGAAAGGGTATTGTCTACAAAATCCCATGTCTCATTTGGGGTGTCATCTATCGTGGCAAAAGCGGAAAATCCCTTTCAACTCGATTGGAAGAACATCGGTTAGCGATGAGGAGATGAGACCGTATATCACAGGTGGCCATTCACACACTGGAAGTTGGACACAAAATTGTGTATGAGAACAAACGCATTATATACATATATACAACCATGGTTTCCGAGATCGTCTGTTCTTCTTCTTCTTCTCATAAATAGGTTTGTATGAATTAGGAAATGGGCATACCAAGAAGCGAACTTCGAAGAAAAAACATTTTGGGAGAGAGTAGCACATTTTATTATGTAAAGTTTTAACGCTGTTTTCCCAGGTCGTTAACAGACGTACAGTAAATGTGCTAAACAGTTGAAATTTTTGACATGCCTGAAAAATCCATATCCCATGATCATTTTGGCCAATTGCTCGTCACTGCGGCCTCAAATCCCATTTACATTGGCCTTCCTTATACGGGCAGGGAGCAAAAATGCACGTTTTGTCCCAGGCGAATTTGTGCCCAATTTCAGTGTATGCATGGCAACTGGAGACAAGTTGTCACGTCTCCTTACTGCCAACTGATGCTCGTAAAGACGTGTAGGAATAGATCATCCTGTCCGACCACAATGCACTGCATTTTAACTGCCACATGACATTTTGTAGACGCCTCCCATACTTTCCACTTTCATATCCGTCTCTCTCTCTCCCTCTTTAGGACCCGTTCTGCTCGGCATCGCGTACTTCGGCTTGGCGATGATGATCTTGTCCCTGATTGGTCTCATCGCCGCCAGCTGTTTAATCAAGATACTGCTTATAATCGTAAGCCTTGTCATTCGCTCAACCTATTAACCATCTTCAATTCCATCCAGTATGCAATCCTACTGGGACTGCTGTTGCTTGGGCAGATCGTCGCCATTATCGTCCTCGCCACCCAGAAGACGAACGTGAGTCCCCAATTTTAAATACTCCGGGAGATGCAGTGTTAAAAATGAGCGTGCCGATTGACGTACAGTTCGGATTTTAAACCATCCTCGTCGAGGGCTACAAATAACTGTAAAAGACATCCTTCAGTTGCTTGTTTCTTGGTCTTTTGCTCACGAAAGCCCTGCAAGCATTGTGCAACTAGTAAATACTTAAAGAGCCTATGCAAGCATCTCCCGGGTGCATTTCTTCTAAACCATTCTCTTTTTCCAGTTAATCAATCTGATGGAGGAGCAGTTGGCCACGTACGTTCCAAGCTATGAAGGAATTAACGGGACAAACGTGGCAAGCTTCATCTGGAACCTGATAATGAGCCAGGTAGGCTTGAGTCTTTCCCTACTTCACTGACGTTTAGTAACTCTTGACGTTCTGAGCATTTAGACAGCGAAACAGCAATTACGTAAATGTCAATCTTGGGTGGGCTTGTTGCCAATTAGGCACAAGCTGTGGATCTGAATAGCAGACAAGGAGTTAGAGACATGCTGATTTAACTCTGCAGGAATACCCATAACGCATACAAGAGTAGAAGACTTGTACAGCAGCAGCTAAACTAAATGGCCCAACATTGCGTTGAGGTCAAGTAGCCGACGATGGTTTTGTTCTCATTGATGTCTTCTTGCCTTCCCCAGCGGAAACAAACAAGACTTTTAACTCGCTTGGCAGATTTCAGGTCAGGAATGCATACGCATACTTTTTTTGAGTAGTCTGCAAATTTCCGCCCTTAAGTCAACAAGGCTGATTTGCAAGCATGGCAGTTCGACCGTGGATTTCGACCGTAGATATCCGTCGTGTGCTCCACAGCAGGGTGAGAGCAGGGATATTGACTTGCGCGTGAATTAGTTTGTTGTGAAAGTAGACTTGCGACGCATCTACCGCACTCTTCCCCCACCTGGGCCCGGCGTCATGACCAAGTCAAGAAGACCGTAGGTGGGAGAGGTCGCAGATGGCCGGCGCGGCCGGAGCAGCCCCTAGGCGTCCCGCCACACCCGGCTCGGATCCCACGGATTGGAAGTGCTATAGGGACCACATTAAGAAGGAGTCATTGCAGCTTGACTCTCAGTCCGCCAGTCGGCCACTCAACACACACGCCGGGCTGACTGCGGGGTTTCATTTGTCCTGTTAGTTGGCAACCTTCCAAGCCATGGCTTTTAGCCTTCCGTGATAGCTTCGACCGCTTCAGATTATTTATTAGGAGGAAAGTGCGCTGAGACGTCTACTTCACTCCCTCTTCCTATTTGACAGTCCCCGTGAGGTGGATTCTCAAGTGACCGACCAGTCCGATGCGCGATCTACATGCGCGGTGGTAGTAAGGGCAGAATCAGTTGGGACGGTGAGGCTACTAACAGTGGTCATGCTGTTGGATAGGAAATTGTTCCTACTGAATATGCGAGCATTACCGGTTATTCGGGTTGTGTTTGGAGTGTCGATACTACGGTGAACTCCGCTTTCTTGGATGCGCATGTGATCGAATAGGCCCATGTCGTGAGTGAATGTGAGTGTGCAGTGCGAACAGTGGGGGCGGGCGTATTTCGCGTCTTCTGGCACTGGTGCACCGGTCACAGTGCGATGGGCTCACAAGCGATCGGCCAGACAAATGCATGAGCTGGATGTGCGATCACAGTGTGGACAGGTTGGGATTGAGTTCACTAACACACGCATACAGTGTAAATAAGCAGAGGATCGAAGGTCAGTACAAATAATGGAAAAGGCGACTGGGATAGCCACTTCCAGATCACTGCCCAAACAGTAAAAGGCCGTAGTCTAACCGGCAGGGTTTTAAACCCAATAGCCAGCTTAAACCGACTTGAAATCTTTGAAAGCCTCCGCCTGGAGCTGTTCGGTGCCTGGTCGACAGAGGCTAATAATACAGAAACGGACATTCCAGCCACTGGTATCTTCACTAGGTGTTTTGGCAGATTATGAATAATTCACACCGACCCAACGGTGAAGATCTCGGCATATCGGGGAGATTCAAACCCACGACAGCATTGGGAGGCCTTAGTACAGCCAAAGCTCTAGTCACCGAAGCTACGAAACCCCACCGGGAGACAGTGGGTTTAATCACATTTGGCGCAGGCTACCCGCCCAACGTTCTGCAACGTCGGGAATCCACAGTGTCGTGGTTGTTAGTTAGTTTCAACTATTGATTTCTTGCCCTCTACCCTATTTCCTTTGAGAACTCTTGACTGTACCTCCAAGACAAAACGAAGCACGTTCGCACTTTGTCCTGCTCGTAAACCAAACCGGTGGATACGCAGGCTTCGCGCTTTGATGTAGGAACCCGCCCAGTCAACTGGTGCCCGGGAGGCTTACTTCCACCTCTTTATAAGACGAAACCAAGGCAACTGTCAACTTAAGCCTTGCCCACTTAACACCCACCAAAGAAAACACAGCCTTTCTCTGAGGACTGACCTCCCTGTAGGTTGGCATCATTCCAGTTGACGGTTACTAGTGCGGCTGTGCGTAGAACGAAAGCAAACACTCACTTATTGGCTAGAAGATAGGATTGAATCATGTGACTCTCCAAACAGGGCATGAAAATAGGTTCTCCCCACCCCATCCCCCCGGAGTAGTAAAGGTGGAAATGCGCATAATTCCGGAGAGGACGAAATATTTCCGTGTCCTAACCCTGACAATAACCCTAATATAAAACTTAACCGTTGCCTTAATCTTGACTCAAACCCTACCCTAAACCTTAACTCTGCAGTTAACAGTAGCCCCTGCGCTAACTCTAAACTTGCCCCTAACTTACCTTACCGTTGACTTTAAATCTAGCTCTAAACCTAGTACTTAACTTAACCCAAAACTCCCTGGAAGTTGCTTCAAAGCCACCCGTATTGCAGGCGGTTCCTATTCTCGTGTCCTGTCTAGGCAGCCATATATGTGAGTCCTACCGGCCAGAAATGTTATGAAGACGGGGATTAGCAAGTGATCGGAGTCCGCGGGGGGGGGAGGGACGGCTAAAAGACGCAATTGGGACTATGGCAGTCGAGGAAACAGTAACCACATTTTAGGGTAAGGTGATGCCATATTAATAACACAGGTACTAGCCAAAAGCCCATACACGCGTTTCGCCGGTGTTTTGCCGCTGCATGGTGCAGCTGCGAGGGGCTCGGCTCGTCAGTGGGTCCCCCAGCATTCCTCGCGTGTTTTCTGGTAGATACTCCAATTTAGAATTTGTCGCTGTTTAATTTCCTCAGAAATTATCTACGAAGTTAGGGTAGATCAGAAAGATCCTCAGATAATTTCTGAGGAAATAAAAGAACGACAATCTCTAAAATGGAGTATCTACCAGAAAACACACGGGGAATGCTGGGGGACCCATTGACGAGCAGGACCTCTCGCGGCAGAATATCGGCGAAACACGCGTGTATTTGCTTTTGGCTAGTACCTGTGCTGTTAATATGGTATCACCTTACCCTCAAGTACACTACTAGCTGTCTGTCGACAGTTAATGAATATTACGCGGTTACCCGCTGTGGCTGATGGACTTTGGCCCAAATATTCATTCATAACATTCTGGGTCTGAGCCTATAGACCTTGAATAAAGTGGTCCACTCCAACTTCGTACATAATTTCCGAGGAAATTAAAAAGCGACAATAACTGCATTTCACAAGGACTCGGAGATGGGGTACAGCGAAGTCATTTCAACGCGAATATCTCAATTATCCGGTGCTGATAGCGGACAGGCCACTAGAGCATTAGGCGTGTGTGTGCTTAAAAGAAGTACTGCCCACAAGTTCGCGATTTCTTTTTCACAATGAACAAGAACTGGAACATCAAAGCGAAATGATAAAGCAAATCAGGGGACAAGCCAACAGGCAAAAACCATAACAGTGGCTAAGTAATCAACCCCTAAGCGCAGTATCTTAGGCAACTTATCAGGATTTGGTAGGCATGAAGTGTGCTGCTTCGCAATCACCTAGTTGCGCATAACTGTTGTTGCTCCATTTCAGGCGCAGTGCTGCGGTCTGAATAGTGGGGCCGATTTTAACGGAATCAATATGGGTGAGTCTAGACACCAAGATTTTACCTCTTTTATAAGAACTCTGATCTTTTAAACATGGATGAGATGGAAGTGGGATAACGGGTATATGGTATCCACTGTTTTCTTCTATAAGCCTTGATCAGCAAAGTGCGGCATTACAAGGCTTTGAGGTCCATAAGCCTTTATTACAGTTCAAGATTAATCGGCTGAGTGCACCCTCCTATGTCGGACTGTTTGGAATGTTCATGATACGTCTGTGATGGACAGTTGACAGCCTGATTTAAAGGGCGAGAATTTATCCAAAAAAGGAAACTACGAAGCAAATTCCAACGTCTTTGTGTATCCAAGAGGCGTCGTTTTGCTACTTACTGATATATTCTTACTTGTGAATTCATGTAACCCGTAACGATCCCGAGATGACGAAGAGATATTTGCTTGAGTGTTCACACAAGATGAATTAACGGTCTGCTCCACTCACAAAATATTCCACTGCGTTGTGTTATTGCGAAAGAGTAGTTCATGTGACGAAAATTTTGTCATGGCCGGTGATAAAAGGTCCAAAAAGGCACTTTACTGGGAACTCCTCTGTAACCACTGACTTAGCTAGGAGGCAAACGAATTACCTCGTGATAAATGTCACCTAAGTCGTTTTCTCATCTTTGGCTTTTTTTGCCCTGACAAGTGTGACGTAATCCGTACGCTGCAACACACTTTAGTCCTTGTCCAATCAAAGTAATCAAGAGGAAACTTTCTTTCTTACAGTAAAGCCTTCTATGACTCGCAGTGCAACTTTGACTTATACTTATCTGGCAACTTTTATGGGCTGTCAGCGCTGGTGCTCTCGCTTGAATAACAAACACTAAAATATAAATAATTAAATTCTCTATAATCAAAGCAGGAAGCATCAATAACACCACTTTTGGCGCTACTGCCTAATATTGCGTGTTCCAATTTCTGATAGAAGCGAACAGGCAAATTTCAGGAAGCACTTCAGAAGATTAAAATGCGATCACTGGAACAGGAAGTTTATTGGCCTGACGTTTCGCATTCTCACTCGAACCCATCATCAAAGACAGTCGCAGATAAGAGTAATGGTGGCACAAAGAGTGCCGTAATTATAGTACGTAGTTGCCGTGGCACCAAATTCGTACTAAAATCAGCATCTCTCGCGATCACGCTGGGGTCATAATTGATGTGACGGTGGCTTGTCAGTCAGCGTCTGAGTCGTTAATGGCCGCGATTTCGTCATCCGTGTTGGATGCTGGTGTGAACATTGTTCGGCAGATTGGCTCACTGTCACTGGGATTATTGCTCGCCGGCGCCCTTCACACGTGACTGATTCCCCTGCTCCGTTGAATGAGGCTGAAAGACCCACTGCCACGGCAGGAAACGTCAGGGGTCGTTTACCGGATCTGGCGCAGTTTCGGGCAAAGCAACTACGTCGAAGAAACTGGTAGATTACTCAGTACGCGAATTGCCGAGCACGCAGCAGCAGCGAGGTGGGGAGACGCTAGCTCTTAGGTGGCGGCCCATTCGACAGGACCCGGCCATATTTTCAAGTTTTAAGAGGCCAAAATCCTCGCAAGGGGTGACAACCGCGTGAGCCGCGGGCTGCTCGAGTCGTGGTTCTGAGGCCCGCAATCCATCAGCAGGAACATTAAGGAGCGCACAGACAAGGTGCTGATTGAAGCGAACAGGCGAGTTCCAGGTAGCAGTTCAGAAGACGAAGATGCGAGCACTGGAATTAGAAACTTATTGGCCTGACGTTTCGGATTCTCACTCGAACCCATCATCAGAGACATTCGCAGATAAAGGTGATGGTAGTACAAGGAGTGCAGTATTTATAGCACGCAATCCATCAACAAGCGCAATGACCTCCCGGTTCAAAATTCCATACTGAGATTTTCCCTAGGCAGGGGAATCAGTCACGTGTGAAGGGCGCCGGCGAGCAATAATCCCAGTGACAGTGAGCCAATTTGCCGAACCATCGTCACACCAGCATCCAACGCGAATGACGAAATCGCGGCCATTAACGACTCGGACGCTGACTGACAAGCCACCATCGAATCAATTATGACCCCAGCGGTAATCGCGAGAGAGGTTGATTATAGAACGAATTTGGTGCCACGGCCAATACGTACTATAAATACTGCACTCCTTGTGCAACCATTACCCTTATCTGCGACTGTCGAGTGCGAATGCGAAACGTCAAGCCAATAAACTTCTTGTTCCAGTGATCGCAGCTTCGCCTTCTGTTTCAATTTCTTCGACGACCACTAGCGTTTAAACTGTTACTGCCACTTTGATCAATGTTACTGTCACAGTCGACAGAGTGGGTCTCAACTCAGTTCTAATCCTTGTAATGTTGTCACTGTTGCTGATGTTGCTGCTGCTGCCGCTGCTGCTAAGAGCCCAATTACTGCTAAACCGGCAACTCCGGTCCAGGAGAACTCTTGCCTGTCGGGTCCGGGAACGTGAATCCCCCCAGTTTTACGGGTTGCCTCAAGCCAAATCCCAAGGGAATTCTAACTGTATTTCTGACCCCAACCTCAACATGTACCCTAGCCCTCCTGGCCCTGACCTAGACGTACTCCCAATCCTAACGCCAAAGCCCTTGGAATTTATGGCAAAACCGTCTGCGGTGCGAAGGAGGGCCCATATTCCTGTGCTCAACCCCTTTGTCACCATTTACGATACTCTCGTTAGCACAATAACTACGCTTATCGTCACCCCCTCCTCCTCCCCCTCCTCCTCCTCCCCCTCCTCCTCCTCCTCCTCCTCCTCCTCCTCTTCCTCTTCCACCTCCGCCTCATCACAAACACTACCCTCCTCATACCAAACTACTTCCCTTTACCTTGACTTACTGGAGTTTTCCTCCTCCCGTGACGCTTTTAAGTTCGGCAAATCTACATAAAATAGAGTGGGTTTATTACAGGGCCTTTTGGGCATCGTTTGTCTCCTTAGAAAACAAGACGAAAATTGGTTTCAATTCGTAAAATAAGAAAAGTCCTAACTCACTTTCCGTGCAGTTATCATGCTTCCTTTGCTGGTTGGGAAAACCATAGGGGGATGAAATACGCGTATGCAAAGTGCTAGATCTTTTCTGCCTCCAATATCTAAGTTAAAATATAAAACTTGACATTATTGCACCGGGCGACACTTAAGAAATCATTCTGTTTGGTCTTATTTATAATTTGTTAATCTTATAAAACAGTAAGGAGTAAAAGTGCGGGAAAGGACGCAATATGCGACCCAACTTTGCACATTGTTTATCACTGCCTACTGGTTCTTACGAAAGCAGTGTTGCTTAATTTGGGTACACTAATTGCCTTTTTGAGATAACATAAATTGTCGCTTGAATATCACATTCAGTTTATCTGTCAGTTGACAAACTTCACCTTTCCTGTCCACCTTGGCGGCTTCTCTGTATTCCGCTGTTCCGCATCATTATGTCGTGTCGTTGGGTCAACGTTCCCACTTCTTCTTCTTCTTCTTCTTCTTCTTCTTCTTCTTCTTCTTCTTCTTCTTCTTCTTCCTCCTCCTCCTCCTCCTCCTCATCCTCCTCCTCCTCCTCCTTGCAGAAGGAACTTCGGACGTTGCGTATTGTCTTGTTACTTCGATCTAAAGACCTCATAGGGAGTCGTATACCAAATACCAATCCACAATTTAGGAGGAATGCCGAACAACACGAGGAGGTGAAGTTTTCCCCTTCTGGACATTTAAACAACCCCCCCCCCACGCTCCGTAGTGATGACCCAAGGTTAGATCAAGGCAAAAACGTGACTGTCCTTGTAGTTAACGCGCCTTGACTATCGATGGCTCTCCATTTCGGGACCGCTGCCAGGTCCATATTGGTAGTCTCAAGTCAAAACAGAAACCCGGTGTCCGTCCAAAAAGCAGGACAGATCGATGAATACCACCCCTGTGTGACCTTGAGAGACTTCTATGCAGTAGAGTGAAACCTTGACAAATGGCTGAAAAAATTATAGCAAGTCCGGCCCCAGCGGTCTATGCCTAGTTGAAGTGTTTTCCTTTAAGCATATCTTCTTCTTCTTCATAACATGCCAAGTGGCTGCGGACAGTTGATCCTTATGCATTTCGATTATTATCTGCAACCAGTCGAATGTCACTCCGGTGAGATTGGCCAATCCTCAAAGGTGTACTTACTTTCCACTCATGCTTCCTTTTAGTCGTTTGTTGCTACTTGGATGGAAACAAAAATCTCGTTGATTCCACCTGCGCAAAACAACAGACGGTTGTAAATAGCTTCTACTACACTGGCTGCTACACGCCGCTGTCCGTAGAATTCACCAGCTGGATTAACATCATAATTATCTGCTTCGCGGTCGGCATCGGTATACAGGTAAGGGACACGCCCTCCGACGCCTTTGCACAAAGTTATCACTTTTTCTAAACTGTTGGCATAATTGCCACTATACTAGTACCTCTGTTGTTAGTAGGGTAAAATCCTCCAGGGTTTGATTGCTACTGACCGTCTGTGGGTATACCGCGAATAATATGCGGTTATTCCATGATGGACGGTGGACTTCAGTTCAAAGAACAGGGGTCGAGCACCGGAACATTTTGTTTATTGTCCTGAGCTTTGCCCTCATCCAACATGAGCCGGTATTTTGGCGCTGTTACTTAGACGACACGTTTTTTGTCGTAAAGAAGGACATGCTGCAACATTTCCACAACCTGCTCAACACAGTCTTCCCTGATATAAAATTCACGAGGGAGGAAGTACAGGAACAGCAATTGTCCTTCCTGGATGTGCTTGTCAGACGAAACCTTAACGGTGAACTTGAAACAACAGCTTATAGGACGGCAACGAACACCACACAATTCCGGTGGCTCACAAACGAAGCTGCGTGAGTACGCTCTTCAAATGGGTCCAAACTCATTGCAGAAAACCGGAGGACATAGCACGTGAGGCCCGTCATCTCCGCGACCAGTTTGTGCAAAATGGCTATCTGAGGGCATTCATAACTCGCTGCCTATTCAGTCGCCTCCTGAGGACTCGAACATCAATATCACCGACGATATGGCATTCTCTGCCATACATCAAGAGCGTTTCAGAAGCGACCGGACGCATTGTTGCAGAGTTAGGTGTTGGAATTGCACACCACCCCACAGTCACCATGCGCAATAGGGTCATGAAAATTAAAGACCGGTTAAAGCCTGAAGAGCAATCTGGAGTTGTGTATCGCATACCGTGTCAAAATTGTCCTTCTTACTACACAGGGCAGACCGGACGCATGCTCGGATCGCGCATAGACGAACATAAGCTGACCGTGCGACGAGGCGACGCATTATCACAACTGGCCACCCACACCTACGAAATGGGTCACGAGTGTAACTTCGCAGCCACGAAAATAGTTGTCCACACCGGAAACAAAACAGGCCGAAAATTAATTGAAGCCCAAGCCTCGGATGAGAACTCTGTCAATAGAACAGGGAATCAGGTGCCAGAGTACTGCCAGCGTACACCAGACTGCGAGGTCCATGGTTTGCTGAATCGGGACACAACATACGCACATAGTCCTTAAAGCCAAACTACCTAAAACGAGAACTTATGACCAGCCTGATCAGACAGGGATAGTGCTCTGGCTGATTTAATCTCGTCCCAGAACATAGAAAATTCCCCTAATCATGTCTTACAGTTTGGATTTGCGTCCATGGAAAACGGTTGACTAGCGAAATGGGTAAATTAGGCAAGTCCAAATAAAAGCCCCATTTAAATGTGACAGCAAAAACCCCAGGATTTGATGATGATGATGATGAGGAGGAGGAGGAGGAGGAGGAGGAGGAGGAGGATGTGTGAACCTGTGAACAAAACATCTTTTGGTGCCGGAATAGGAGGGGTACATGTTCTTGAGTATTATGCCTAAGTTCTGAGATAATTTCCATATTACGATTGAAGATTCAGTTGACGAACATATGTTTTCGGTAACTCATCATCAGGCCGGTACATTTACATGGGTAATGATCATTCTAATTGTAAGCAGTATATAAATGCGCCGCAGAGACAGTGTTAATCGGACTTCACGTTCCCACGCCGCCTGCATGACGGAGTCAGCGTGTTGAGGACCTGTGGATTTGGATAGGGGGGGGGGGAGAATGGAGGGGGGTTCCGGTTAGATTGTAAGCGCCTTCTGACAACAGAGTGCTGGGTCCGCTATTCGAATGGCCACTGCTTCGGCTGTGGCCAGAACCCGTCTGTGCCAGTGCCCGGTAGATAACTTTAAAGGCTTCTTTAACGTCGACTTGGTGGTTCGTATCGATTAGGTGTGCGAGAATTGAACTCGAAATCGATCGATTTTCAGCTCTACCTAGCCAGGTGGGCATTTGTTCGCGTATTCTCTTTACCAGACGCCTCGTTGTACGGCCAATATATCCCGCTCCACAGGAGCAGGATAACACAGCCATGATCGGCTGAACGTTCAATGCTTACTCGTGACTGTACTTTCCCAAGTCACTTCAGCTTAGGTCAGTGGAAGTTGTTATGAATTCAAGAATTTGTCTAAAGCAACATTTCAGAAGAGCATTTGGCGAGCATGCGCGTGCTTTCGATAAATTCTCGATGGGCGAGCACACTTATATGGGAACGAGGTACGAACTTAAACGTGCGAGCGATAAGAGCAATCGATTAAAGTTCGTCTTTTCATACAGGCGGGGTATTTGAATAAGGGGCTAGGGGAGGAGAAGAGAGAGTGACAGTGAGGGTTAGGTAGAGCAGTGTCACAAGGAGGAGGGGAGCGGGGCGCAGAGATATGCAGACAATTAATCGATACTTACCCACGGTAGACGCGGAGCGTGCAAAAGGTCCTCCAGCACGCACAGGACCGGCCTCTGCAGCCTGATGGCAGTCGCTTCCGCTGTTGCTAGAACGCGCTGAACCAGTCGTTTAGGCTAGTTAGGTGGAACCTTGTAAATCACACGAAAGGCTTCGTTTGGATTCAAACGATATCCAGAATCAACCATGTGTGCAGAGATGGAGCTGCGTATGCTCTTTACTTCACCCTTCCTCAGCCATGCCGGCAGGTGTTCTCGTATTCTTGTGGATAGGCGCCGACTGGTACGACCAATATAGCCTGCTCCACAGAAGAAAGTAAAGGAGTAGATGCGCATGGAGGTGGTCTGAACTAATAGCCTATCCTTTCCTTCCCCGCGTAGGACAAGGTTGGTCGAAAACAATACTTCAACTCTTGCTGCCGAGAAGGTCCGTGAAACGGCTCGATGAGAATTTATTGAAAGCACGCGTACGCTCATCAAATGCTCTTCTGGATTGTTCAATGAGAATTTTCGCAACTTTAAAACAGTCTAAAGTAGCACTGTCAAACATTCGTGTGTGGTGTGACTGCTGTCAGCATGCATTAGACAGTCATCGCTGATGGCATAAGGCAGGGGAATACGCGAATATATTCACGAAATGTTTGAAATTGTAGGACCCGGAGAGGGTTGGCCAGGGACCCCCAGTTTTACAAATGGCCTTGACCTAGATTCCAGGGGGAGGGTTGGGACTTAAAATAGGTGAGCTAACTCATGAAATGTTAGCCGAAATTCTGAAATACGCTTTCGTTTCAAAAAGACTACTTAAGTAGGGTTGTAAAATTAATTATCTTGCAGCATAATTATATAAAAATTCAGTTAACTTGAGATGCCGATTTTCGAATGAAGTTCTTTCCGGCCGAATGTGAGGACCACATTCTCAAGAATGACTACTTAAGAAGCATGAATTTTTGTCACTGTTCTGCAATGCCCTCAAAAATCCAAATATATCTCACAGTAAATAGGCATAAAATACTCATTCTCTTACTTATTTGGTAGAAAATTATGTTTTCTCCCAATGTTGCGCTCGAAGAAGGGGTATAATTCGATTTTCAAAAACGTCGAATAATTTTGAACACGATCTGTCGTTACACTTGCATTTGCGGTTTCCAAACTACAAGCCGTATATGTTCCGCATACGGAAAACCATACATTCCTCTACGGTACTAAAAGGAAACCATATGGGATTCACAAAATTTAGCACTGAATTTGAGCCCTATTTTAAACTTTACAAGCGGCATTAGTAAATGCAAAAATACGATGTTTATGGACGGGCATTTCATGGTATTAAAAAATCTCACAATTAGAAACTTTCTAAAATCGAATTATACCCTTCCTTCGAGTATAACGCTGGAAGAAGACATAATTCGCTACCGAACGAGTAGAAGAACGAATATTTTTATGCATGTTTTCCGTGAATCATAATTGAATTTTGAAGGGCGTCGGAAGTCGATGAGAAAAATTCATGCTCCTTAAGTATTCACTTCTATAGAGTGTGGATTTTGAATGCGACCGGAAAGGAATTCGCTCAAAAACTGGCACCTCGAGGTAACTGAATTATTATAGAATTATGCTGCAAGATGACTTATAAGTCAACCTTATTTAAGCAATCATTTTGAAAGGAAAATGCATTTCAGAATTCCGGTTAACAGTTCATGAGTTAGGACACTTACTGTAGGTTGGGACACGGGAGTAGGTACTCCTAGAATCTAGGCGAGGTTACCTGTAATGCTGGGGCACCTATTTCCGTGTCTGACCCCAAAGAGCATCGTCAAACGTCTCCGTCAAGTCTCCGTCTCTTTTGTTCTTCCATCAAGACTTTCTTATGCGACGCAAGGTCCTTCTGTGCCCTCAATATTTGAAGTGGCAGGGTTTTCCCAGCGGATCAATGCTTTTTAAATGTCGGTTACGTTGCAATCAAGGTTGCAAGAAAGAAATCAGTAAAGAATGAAGTAATTCATATAGCGATGTCTCCCGTAATTTCTTATCCGGATGTATGGATGTTACCGCGTGTTTATTACTTTGTTATTTTAGGCAGGCGTGTTTATCCTGACCGTTATCTTGGCATGTATCGGATTTTAACAGAAGACAACATTCCCTCGGTTTTCTGCTAGTTTGCGCTTGCTGTGGACGCGATGCCATTGTATACAGGACCGATCAGCAGTGGATCGGTTTTGTCCTTCTGCCTCCTTGGAAAAATCTGTTTTTTTTCTGCACTTTACTACTGCTCATAAGCAATATATATTTATATGGTGTCATTTTCATTCACATCTGTAAGAAACTCCCCTTCTTGTGCACTTTTTTTCATCGAAAATAAACGCAAGACTTCAGAGACAAAAATCTACCGGTCCCGGCTTGAACATAAACACCTAATCGAGCTTATTGTTGACAGTATCCATTTCTGTCTCTAGCTTGGAGATCGAAGGCAAAATCTGAATAAGTCAGTGAATGCCACCTCTACTGACACAAACTGTTAAGTAACAGACACACAGATTAGAAGATATAGGATCCATTTTTAACGACAGACACATCAGCAAATCAAACCGACAGATTATAAACTGATCGATCAAGCGCGGTTTTAAAGGCACAATGACAAAGTGGTATGCTCATTTACTGGCAGTAGGCGAGAATCTCAATGCTCGTGAATTGTTCTGAATCGCAATCAACGACGGAGATCGCGTGCGCATTTACTGACGACATCTACGTGGTCCGACCGCGTGATCTAAAAGTGTGTTCGCGTGCACTTTAGCTAAACAGTGAGCGGCAACTTTTCGAAGCGGTTTCTTCCATTACCTCTTTCCCTGCTAAGCGGTCTTGTTTTTCGGAGAAAATAAGATCTACAATTGTGTAATTATTCATCATGCTGACAACACAGGTACTAGCTAAAAGCCAGACACGCGTGTTTCGCCGATCTTGTGCAGCTGTCTGACACAGCTGCAAGGGGTTCGGGCAACAGTGGGTCCTCTGAGCTTTAATGTGTGTTTTCTGCTATATGGACCCCAGTTTCACCTCGCCGTGTTTAATTTCCGCGGGAAGGAATGCGTGAGCTTGGAGCAGCTTCTCCGGAACAAACCTCTTCGGGAGGGAGACTGGCGAAACACGCGTGTCTGGGCTTTTGGCTAGTACCTGTGGTGTCAGTATAGTAATTAAATACACAATTGTATACTACTTGCTATCTGTTGGCAGTTTGTGAATATTACGCGGTTATTCCACAGTAGCTGATTGATCTCAGTTAAAACATTCATATCAACCTTCGGACCGTGCCTGAAAAGGTTTGCTCCTAATAATTTGCTTCAAGCCCGCACATTAATTTCCCCGGAAGTTAAGCAAGGTAAAATCAGCCTTGTCCTCTTTCACGAAATATTCTAAGTGACGAGTTCGAAAGAACCTTTGGAGAACATATATGTATGTCTGATAGATCTCATCAGGCTAATACAATTACACAATAAAATGTTTTCCTGGTTGATGAGCCAACAAGGGGCGGCCCGGTTAGTTAAAAGGAGGCCTGATGGATGAGTCCGGAGGGATGTGATGTAGGCATGCAAGGCCACCCACAGTGTTCTCAGAAGACTACGCAGAAGTCCTTGAACCAAGTAATTTCTTGTGCGACATTGATTCCGTGACAGCCGCCTCTCAACAAACGTCCTCCTTTGAATTCAAATCGTTCGATTTCCTAATAACTATCAATACGTGTTTATTGATACGTAAAACTGCTACGGGGCCCTCGCGCGGATCGCACTTAATACATAGACATAGTGGACTAGATAAGCCACTCGACCCAGATGCTGTCCTAAAATCTATCCGTGCGAAACTCCACCTCCTTTATACGAATGCACGGAGTTTGTTCCAAAAACCAGATGAACTAACAGTATGGGTATCAGGTATGCATCCGGATTTCATTTTCATTACAGAAAGTCGGTTGCAGGATGAAATATTTGGTGGCGAAGTTGCCGTCTATGGTCACAAACTATTCCGTAGAGATCGACCGCATAAAAAGAGGGAGGCGTGGCAATCACCGCACTTGAACGCAGACTTGTTTGCTCATGCAATTGCGAAGCACTCTGGCCAAAACCTGAGAGATGTGGGGAACAAAATCTGGCCGCGTACAAGCTGTCCAATCAAACCCCAGAGGTTGCTAAGGAAAGGTTTTTGTGGGTTATAGAGGTATCTCAAAAACAAGAAGCACTGATAGCTGTAGATTTCAACGTATCGACCATAGACCGGGACTGTTTGTCGGTAAACGTTTTGCGTAGTTTCTTTGAGTTCAGGCACTTAAAACTCCCAACTAATCTCTTTCTCTTACAAAATGTCATGTTCAAATCAGAATCAAAAAGACACGAAAGGCAAATTGTCTGGACCTCGTCCTTGAAAAAATCCAATAAAGAGTAAGACTGGGCAGGTCATGCTGTTTTAGGACTACTGCTCATACAGCCAGCAAATGGGGAACACTGAGAATCGGCTTAATTACTAACGAAACAAGTTCGCAACAAGGAGAAGTAAACTATTGTTTCCAAATTGGCGGAGGTTTTTACCGGTCAACCGGATGTCGATTGGAGCATTGTTGGAGGAGTTATAAATAACGTCATGCATCGAAACTCCTCGTTAACAAGAGCTGAAATGACGAATAGTTACCCTTGGCTAACGAGAAATATAAGGACAGAGATAGAAAAAAGAAAGAAACTTTGGAAGCGATATAATGCAGCGAAACTTCCTGTGCATAACGAACAGTTTTACCGGAAGCTGAACGAGATGAAGTTTAACGTGTCCAAATGCGTGGTTTTGCACCTGAACACCGGCCGCAATGCCTCTCCCAAACACCAGTACTATATTGACGGGACGAGGTTAGAAACTGTGGAAAGACACAGAGATCTGGGTGTATGGACGACCACAAATCTATCCCCATCAGAACACTGTAGAAAGATGGTCCAGAAGGCAACTAGTACTCTACACTGGATCAGACGTACATTTAAAATATTTCCTCCTGAACTTTTCGAAAGACTCTTTGGTGTCTTTGTAAGACCTCATCTAGAGTATGGAATGCCAGCAGCTTCACCATGGATGAGGAAGGATATCAACTTACTCGAACATGTGCAACGCAGAGCGACAAAGATGGTCGACGGTCTAAAGCATTTGTCTTATCAGGAGAGGCTGAATTTCCTTGGCCTTTTCCCTCTCTCGTATAGACAAATAAACTGCAGTCTACTCTGGACGTTCCGGATTGTTCGCGGCCAGGGTTGCTCATTAAGAGCAGAGGACTTCTTTGAGTTCGCCCGTACAAACCAACTACGCGGCCATGCATACAAAGTCGGGAATGAGCGCACGCGTTTAGACCGACGAAAATTTTCATTCAGCCAGCGGGTTGTCAGGCCGTGGAACTCGCTTCCAAGCGAGATGGTGACGGCTGACACAGTTTGTGTGTTTAAACGAAAACTTGCTCGTCTAGTTTTCAACAGAAATCGGCTTGTACAGCATGACTATGCACAGCCAGTTTTGTAAAATCTGTCATATACAATCTTCCGCACCAATTTACAGTGACCCTATGCACTACTTTATGATTACGATTGAACTGTGACCCAATCACATTTTAAGTGCCTGCAATTTTATTTTATTTTTGAGTATGAATCTGCGAAAGCACTGTACATAAATAGGGTCATCAAGGGCTCTGCCTGTAACCCTTCAATATATACATATACATATACAATTATCCGTAAGTCTTGAGAGGGGTAAAAAACAAGAATTATGGGACGAGCAGTTGATAAGCCAAAAGTACTCTTCACCTACATCAGCGGTAAGCTAAAGGACAAACAAACGGTGGCTGTGTTGGAAGGAGAACACAATGAGGGAATTACCGAAAATGACGATAAGACCGAACGTCCAAGTCACTTTTCGCCTTCGTTTACATAGATGAAACTGACTTTCACAAGGCCGACCTCTTGACCTTAATTAACGACGCAGTAATCGAGACATCGAGTTCATGAAAGAAGATGTGAGGAAGGAAATTCATAGGCTTAAGAGTCGTAAGTCTCTGGCGCTGAACAAAATGCTGGTAAAAGTTCTGAAGTAGCTTCCTTGCGAACTGTCTAGACCGCGATCGATTATTTTTAGGCGTTCTTTGATCGAGAACCTCTCCCCTTTCATTGTCAAATGGCCAAAATAAGCTCCATTCGCAAGGATTGGTACAGAACAAGAGCGAACAACTGTCAGTCGGTAAGTCTAATATGAGGTGGTGGTGGTGGTGGTGGTGATGATGATGATAGGCGCGTGTGGCGGTGGAGCGAGGATGGGGCTGGGCGTGGTGGATGTGTTGGATGTCGTGGGTGTGTCGGGAGTGTGGTCAATGCCGCTCTCGTGGATGCGCATGTGGCCAAATAGGCCCATGCGATGCCTGAAGGTGCAAGGGCAATGTGGGCAGTGGAGGCGAGTGCGGTGGGTATAGGTTGGTGCTCCAGGCATTGGCTCGCCAGTCTCTGTGCGATGGATTCGCAAGTGACCGACCAGGCCGATGTGTGAGGTGAAGGTGCGGTCGCAGTGAGGGCAGATGTAGTCCTGGTCCTAATCGTTAGAGTCGGGAGAGGTGGGGGTGGTGTCTGTTGTTGTGTCGCGGTTGGTGATGTGCGAGACGGCCGCCTGAGCGTTCGCCGTTGGGGCAGTGATGGAGGAGGAGAGGGAGGAGGAGGAGGAGGAGGAGGAGGAGGAGGAGAAAATGTCAGAGTTATTTGGCGGCAGAGAGGACGAGGAAGAGGCGGGCGGGGGGACGGTGGCTGGAGCAGTTCAAGAGGCACAGTTGATCTGAAGTTGTCCAACAAGTCCGATTCGAGCCCGGAATGTCTGTTGACATCGAGGACACGTTGGAAGCGGTTGTGCGGCGGCGTTGCGTATTGGTCGAAGTTGTGATTTGCGGGCTTCACGTTTCGCTTTGGCGGCAGCGATGCGATTGGCTTCGTAGATCGCAGAGCCTGTCTTCATTGTCCTCCTCCAGGTCAGTCGATTGCAGGCGAGCTCTTCCCAGTTGGTCAGGTTTATTTGCAGACGCTTCAGGGAGGACTTCAGAGTATCCTTGTAACGGTGAATCTGGCCTCCTTGACGGCGAGAACCCGTCACGACGTCTCCGTAGAAGAGTCGTTTGGGTAGTCGCTCGTCGTCCATGCGCACTAGGTGGCCGCTCCAGCGAAGCTGCATCTATCTTAGCATGGAGTAGATGCTGAGCATTCCCGTTTGTTCCAGCACATCAGTGTCGGGGATGCGATCCTGCCAGTTCAGCCTCAGGATGCGACGAAGACAACTGAGGTGGAAGTGGTTCAGTCGGCGTGCCTGCCTCGTGTACACCGTCCAAGTCTCCGCTCCGTACAGTAGCGTCGGCAGGATGACGGCCTTGTACATCTTCAGCTTCGTGCTCAGTTGAAGACCGTGGCGATTCCAAACTGTGCTTTGGAGGCGACCGAAGGCTTGACTGGCTTTCGAGATCCTGTTGGCGACTTCGTCGTCGATCTTGGTGTTGCGGGAGAGGGTACTGCCCAGGTACGGGAAGTTCTCTACCACTTGAAGTTGAGTCCCATTCACGTTGATGTGCGGCGCGTTGGGGGCTGTGGCTGAGTTGGTTGGCGGTTGATGCATCACCACCGTCTTCTGCGTGTTGATAACCAGCCCAAAGTTCTCGCAGGCGGCGGAGAATAGGTCCATGGTCCGTTGCATCTCCTCTTCCGAGGTGGGGTTCAGGGCGCAGTCATCGGCGAAGAGAAGTTCGTGGACGGTGGTTGTGGATACGCGCGATTGGAAGTGCATCCGCCGTTGATTCAGGAGGTGACCGTATGTCCTGTAGGCGATGCGGATCCCGGGGCGTTCGTCGCGGTACGCGTCCATCAGCATGGCAAAGAACATAAGACTGAAGAGGGTAGGCGCCAGTACGCAGCCCTGCTTCACTCCATTGGTCACTGCGAATGCCTCTGAGACAGCTCCGTTGTCCGTGACTCGCGCCATCATACCGTCGTGCAGCTGACGCACCATCTGAGTGAATCGCTCCGGACAGCCGAATTTCTGCATGATCTTCCAAAGTCCTTCACGATTCACCGTGTCGAAGGCTTTCGTCAGGTCCACGAAGGTAGAGTACGGGTGTGTCCGCATCTCCTGGCACATATCCTGAAGTTGACGGGCGGCGAAGATCATGTCCGTGGTCCCACGATGACGACGGAAGCCGCATTGGCTTTCCGGCAGAAGGCCCTGTTCCAGATGGTTATTGAGGCGGTTGAGAAGGATGCGAGCGCAAATCTTCCCGGCGATGTTCAGCAAGGAGATGCCACGGTGATTGTCGCAGACTTGACGATTCCCTTTTCGCTTGTATAGGTGCACGATTGTTGCGTACTTGAAATCTTGCGGGACTTCACCTTGACGCCACATCTCCTGGAAGAGCGCAGTCAGGTGATCCATCAGTTGGGGACCTCCGTGCTTGTAGACCCCAGCAGGGGTTGCGTCCGATCCGGGTGCTTTCCCGCTAGAGAACTGCTGCACGGCCCTGATGGTCTCCTGGAGAAATGGCGGGAGGTCGAGGTCCGCGTTGGTCTCAACTTGCGGCAAACGCTCGATGGCGGCGTCGGAGATGGCGAAAGGGCGGTTGAGAACGCCTCGGAAATGCTCGGCCCATCGCTGCAGGATTTGTGTCTTCTCAGTCAGGAGAGCGCTGCCGTCGGCGCTGAGGAGAGGAGCGGTGCCCTTCGTCGGCGGACCGTAGACAGCTTTGATCGCAGAGAAGAAGTTCTTCCATTCGTTACGGTCCGCGTACCCTTGGATCTCCTCGGCCTTGCGAGCAGTCCAGGCGACCTGCATCTCGCGCAGTCGTTGCTGAAGCTGTCGGCGACTGCGGTAGAAGGCTGCTTTGTTGTCCTCAGTGGGGTGATCTACGTAGGCTTTGTGTAGGCGGTTCTTCTCGGCGAGCAGACTGCTAATGACGGCGTCGTTGTCGTCCAACCAGTCCTGGTGTTGGCGGCGTGCGCGACCGAGGACGGATAGCGCTGTCGTCTGGACTGTGTCACGCAGTTGGCACCGGCGGTTCTCCACGGAGGCGTTCTCGGCATCGGGGGCGTCTGCGGCGGCAGCGATAGGAAGTTTGTCTAGCCGTTGACCTAGCTCATTGCTGAAATGGAGACGGTGAGCAGGCAAAGACAACAAAGCAACATTCAGCTTACCTGGGGGTCGCTTACCTTGTGGTCTCCTGCGAGGCTGTAGGCGAATACGCATCTTCGAGATGACGAGGCGATGGTCGGTCCACCCGTCAGCACCCGCGATCGCCTTTGTCACCAGCACGTCCCGCTGATCTCGCCTCCGGACGAGGACATAGTCCAGCAGATGCCACTGGCGCGACCGAGGATGCCTCCAGGTGGCCTTCTCTTGCTCCGGCAGACAGAAGAAGGTATTCGTCAGGATGAGGCGGTGTTCTGCGCAGGTGCGGAGAAGCAGCAGGCCATTGTCGTTTGAGCCACGGAGACCATGGGGACCCAGCACACTTCTCCAGGCAGCATGATCTGTGCCGACGCGGGCGTTGAAGTCACCGAGGACAATCAACTTGTCCGCCTTCGACACAGTCGCCAGGAGTGCGTTCAGGTCCTCGTAGAACTTGTCTCTCGCGGCCTCGGGACTGCTCATCGGCGGAGCGTAGGCGCTGATGATGGTGGCGAATTTGCCTCCCCGTCGGAGCGGCAGGCGGAGGCTCATCAAGCGATCGTTGATTCCCTGCGGCAAACAGGGCAGTCGTCCACGATGTCGGTCCGGATGGCGAAGGCGACACCCGCGTCTCGTCGCTCTGTCTTGGGACGACCAATCCAGAAGAAGGTTTAGCCGGCACCCACCTCCTCCAGTTAACCTTGGTCGGAGAATCAGGTCTCGCTGAGTGCGGCGATGTCCACCTTGTAGCGTGCCAGTTCCCGGGCCACTGGCGCCGTCCTCCGTTCCGGTCGGTTTCTCCTCGGATTGTCTAAAAGGGAACGAACACACACACACACACACACCTGAAAGTTGTTGTCCTTGAGGCCAGGCTTCTTCAGGAGAAGAGGACAAATAAGTTGACAGGAAAGCTGTTCCGGTGGCGTCTTAGTAACGTTGTTGCGAAGGGTCTCTATAGCCTCAAGACACTCCTTCCATACGGCCGAGGTGAGCTGTGCTTCGGCGATTTAACTTATACCAATGACTGTATGAATGGACTTGACTGCTAGGGAGTCATGTTTGCAAATGACGTCAAATTATGACGAGAGATCGCATGCAATAACTGTGGGTGGACTCTACAAGAAGGACTAAACCGCTTATGTGAATAGTTCGATAAATGGTTGCTGAAGTTTCGCCATGAGATATTCGTCACACTGCAGCTCAGAACAAAGAAAGGGAAAATAGATGAAGATGATAATCAACGCTTATCTGACGGAAGATGCCTGTTAAGTTTATTTGAACCAAAGAACCCCGGAACGATCATCCCGCCGTCTCTGATGCCCTCCTCTCAACGCGTCAGGGCAGATAAAATTGCAACCGATGTTACTTCCGCCATTAAAAGAATTTTTATATAAATAGATAGGGAGCTATCTGGAAAAGCATACAAAGCCTTTGCTCGTTCGCAACTAGAATATGCAATCCGGGCATTGCGACCCTGGATAAAATGATTATAGATTTCTGGAACAGGCCCAAAGAAGGGTGACTAAAATCTTGAAGAGTCATAAGACTTTATCTTATAAGTACCGTCATGATACGCTCAACCTATTTGTTTGTGAGTACAGGCGGATCCGAAGAGATCTCGAGCAGACCTGCGGGATTTTGAGGAATCAAAACTGTACCCTGCACTTATGCTACTTCTTCGTATTGCTCACAACAACAAACCCCTGTGGAAGGCCACTCAGACTTCGAAGACCCAATCCCACCTGAACGTTCGAAGGTATTCGTTTTCACGCCGAGTTTTCGGCGCCTAGAACGGACTCCTCGAGAAAGTAGCGGTGACAAGCCCAATCGAGATGTTAAAACAACAATCTATATATATTTGCTTGAAGAACATCGGACAACCAGGCAGGAGAGTTTTGGTACATCAAACCAGCGGTTATCGTTAGTGTGAATGACTAGTATATTATATTTCACATTACCCTCCACAAGTGAGGTTGCACGGGTTGCAGTCCGCACATTTGATATGCGCTATGTGTAAAGTATATGTCACGGACGTCATTTTAGTAACGTGTTCGTTTGAACTCAAACATTGCATGTAGAGTGTTCTGTAGGATCCTCGAAGGCATTATCTCTTACGCTTACATATACTGAACTATGCCGAACTAAACGCCTACCGTTTTTACGTCAAAGTAATTGGTTTTACACTCTTAAGACAAGTTTGCCATGAAAGGTCGTCCAATTGGTTCTGATGCTAGTCTGCAACTGCTGAGAAATCCTGTAAGGACCAATTACGATAAAATCAAAGATTATTTTGAGAACAAAGACACCTTGAACAATGCCTAAACGGAGTCTCGGAAGTGAGTATCCTGTGATGCCAACCTTCAACATATTTTTCATGATTGACCAAGAGCGCCAGCTAAGTAATGACGGACGCATTTCTCTACCTTCTTGCAGCCATGAAGATCTTCATGAAGCTAAAACTATCCAAACTCATCTGGTTAACTTTTCCTACTGTAAATTACAATATCCAAATGACCTTAATGTCCTATGGTATTTATGACACCGGAAGATTAGTAGACCTAACATACTTATTTTTTCTCCCCATGGTCTCTGTTTTCGGCAATTTTCGACATCCAGTTCGAGTTTCAAACTCGCACTTCGTATTCGTTTGATTGGTTTCTTGTCAGATAGGCATATTGTGAGAGATTTATGCCTACAGTATCTCATTGCTCCGTTTCCTGACCGTGTATTCCAGGTAAATTACCTACTACCATTGCATATGCCGAACTACTATTTTTGTCCTAGGGAAATGCTAAAAACTTAGCTGCAAAGGATCGGCCATAAATGCACCCACATCCTTGCATTAAAATGTCCAGATATCATGGAATATAGGGATATGAAATAGGACTCTAAATTTTCTACCTTAAGTCGTAAAAGAATAACGGAACCTGTAGGGGAAATTTGTTTTACTCATTGAAGCGATGCACTAGAGGCAGAGCTTGATTCAACTCGCTTCGGAAAGTTAAATAAATTAATATCAGATGACAGAATTGAATTATCAAATGATTCGTACGGCCAACAAGGCACGAGAGGCAGTAACTTTTCTTCTTTTATATACAGGAGTTAGGATCAACTCAAATCCGACTCTCGAAAAAAGAATCTTCTTCTTTTAGTAATGCATTACTTAAAAAGCGAGGGGTATGTTAGTAACATGCGAACGCATTTTATTTAAGTTTTCTACAAGCGGCTGAGGCATTAGTTCATGAAACAAATCTCGATTTTGCTGCCTACGAGATCTGCGACAACATTGACTTGGATACTATATTGATGGATTTTGAAAGCTTTTATTTTGTTAAATTCAATAAATATCCAAAGATTTCCAAGAAAGTTGCTAGTAAGTTTAAAAATATTGGATATACTTGTAGGCGCCTCAGAAAAACTTAAGAATTCTGCCGGTTCCGAAAACGGAACAAGAAAGAAAAGGTTTGTGTTAGACATCATGTTATTACAAACCCCAGCAAATACAGTACGTTTTTACCGAAAATCGGCGGCTCGTCCACTAATTCTACGAATTCCCCTACCGTTGTACCTAACCCCCAACCCAGTGTAAAGGGGGTTTCTGCAAGCTCCTCAGAAGGCATGGTACGTCCGTTCCACTGTAGACTTAAACATTGATCTATTATAGCCTAATAAGGACATTTTACGGTCAAAACCAATAAAAACTAAAAATATTAAGTATTTAAACCTTATTATAAAGTAAAACGAGAGTTATTTTTGACTTAATATGCCAATATGCGCTGGGAAAGCATTTATAAACGGATCATTCGCAAACATCATGACTACGTCTGCTTGTACCCCGTTTCAAATATTGGCTATCTTTTGCATACGTATCAGATGTCGACCTATAGTAAAAATGGTTATAGAGAAATGGTATGCAATAACACTGAATGAATCGCTTTGTCCTGTATCATATCTTTTACCGAGGTCGAATTGAAGTCAGACCTTTTTAACTGTAGGTGGGTTTGACCCTCATATAACGCCGTCCGACAAACAGCAACGATTAGAAAAGGTGTGCTTATCAACCAATTTATATGTCCAGGGCTTTTGGGGGTGCAAAAGGACCACTCAATATTGTGTGCTTGCTTGTCTCCTCACTTCGAGTTTTGCATCGCTTCTGTCCTATACTCAAAAAATAAAGTCTTATCTTACCGAGTTTGCCCTTGCCTTTGTGGCCCAAGGCAAATACATTGGATTTGGTAGCAGAAGGGATTTCGGCCTCGTCTCCGTGCCCAGTCGTACAGAACGGCACAATCTCCAACGATACTCGGAAGTCGCAGAAATTTGGACCAATAATTGACTTCCGCGCAATCATTAATCAAGAAAACCGAATGAGTCAGTCTGAAGAAATTCCACACCAGGTCAGAAGGGGCCTTCTCATGTTGCAATTGCTAATTCAACTTATTTTGCTTCTTTATCTAAAATAATGGATGACGAAACTTTGCCCACACTGGTGAGCTTTAGAGGCTAGTCTGCATGGCGTAGGAAGAGCATACAGCACAGAACAGCCTGTTTGAAAGTAATTTAAATCTCAACAAACTCCTCTCTTTAACGCCGTGAAGGCGATAAAATAGCCGTTTGACCAAGTTGTAGGTGCGTTACAAATTCATATAGGTGGTATCTTAGCCTTAAACATAATCATTCTTAGCCACATTTGGAGCTCCTGTACCATTTTGACAGAGATATAGTTAGTGACAGTGCTGGTAGCTTCCCATTTTAAAACTTCTGTCCACTTAACCTGATGTTTTGATCCTATTGCCCAACCAAACAAGTGCGAATATACTGACTTTTTCTTACACATTTTTCTTAGGAAAGATTGCTAAGACCATTGGGTTCCTACGCCGGCTATTCGGCTGAATGGAGGGAGTTTGCTGCTACGATTTCAAGGGTATGTTAACGCACTTTTTAAGTCAGCTTATTTCAAAAACCTCAGGCAAAGACGGAGTGCTAAGAATTATCGACATCTGCTCCAATACGCGTCCTGATATATTCATAAAAAGGATTTTTTTCTCACTAGGACGGCTTATTCTTAATTCTAGACTTGCGGGTCTTCATCATCAAAATTACTATGTTAGTCTCTTAAAGATATCTACTTATGTACACACTTACAATACTTTTTAACGTTTCTACCAATGATGGATTTAGCCAGGCATACTACGACAGCTGATGCTTAGTTTCGACTTACGTAAGATTAAAAAATTACAACAGATAATTATGTCTTCATTAATGAATATGGAGGACTTGTAGTGGGTTTTAACTGGGCTTTTCCTCAATAGTGCACAGCAGGTCGAGAGAAAACTTTGGTGGCCGCGAGTAATTAGGATCCGTAGGATCCGCATCCATCAGATTCAAAAACTAAATTACGTCAAGCTGTGCCCTTTTGAGCGTCCGAAGCGTGCTTCGCTGAAGGCTATTCTCATTCGAAATACACAAAACCGTTCTGTTGCAAGCGTTTCGGTCGACCGTTTTCCGTGTGCCTGATGAAATATGATGAGTCAAGTACGAAACAGTATGTTGCTCATTTTCATGAGAGAACTGATCTCGTCACCAACGAGGATGCCTCTTAAGATAAAATTAATCGAGTTCAGGGTTTTTGTTATTGACAAGAGTACTCCGCTGAACAACTGTCTTTAGGTACGAAAAAACCTATTGTAATCTTTATTTTAGGACATTTATCTTCACAATCCGGACGTTCACTGGAATGATATAATCGGTTTGGAATCCGCTAAACGCCTAGTCAAGGAGGCGGTTGTTTACCCGCTATCAGTGAGCCAAAACAAATGCACGATTGTCATTTTGCAAGTTTATACCTCTTTCCATCATCTGTTTAAAAGATGGCTGTGATGTAAGAAACGTATGACTGCGGGTGCTTATGAGGCTGTCTTATTCGCTCAAAAACCAAAATATTCACTGAATTTTCAGTTCAGTGACTGGTTTGTTGGTAGTGGTTATTTTTCTTTCTTTGTCCTGAGAATGTTGGCGGTGCCGCTAGTGATAAAAACTATCTTGATTATGGTGAGGATCATAATAATGATATCGACAAACTTTATGAGGCTGCCGATGTCGATGATCGTGATGGCGGTAGCGGCGGCGGTGGCAGCGAATACCGTGCTCAGAGAAGTTTCAACACTCGTATTTATAAGGAACATCTCGCCTGATATTATTCGCTGAACATTCTGCTTCGATGGTGACTTTTTCAACCGGAACAAACACAATTTAGGTCAAAGGCAATGCTAGAAAACGATCAGAACAATTGGGATAATTCGTGTGGTTCTGTAATACTAACGTGATGACATTAGCGGCATATAATCGCCGGGCTTTTCACATCACCAGGCTCCAGGTTAGAGTGACCACTCCGTTCAGCATATACTTCCTATTATAATGAAGTCGGACTATCATTTCCCGTAAGCAGGTAGACCTCATAGATCTAAAAGGACTTGAAGTAACAGGTTATCCGACCGACAAGTCGCCTGGGGTTTCATCACAAATGCATGCATAATATTCTACTCGAGGACCTACAGCACCCCGTTCCAGCTGATCCGGTGTCCTTCGTTTCATGAGCGGGCGCAAATATCACTGTAATACAGTTGTCTTTCAAATAACTGATTGTACTTGTTTTCTAATTGTAGTATCCACAACTCTTTACTGGAATACTTTCGCCCTGGAAGGGGTTGCTTCTCTACGGTCCGCCAGGTAACTTAACCCCTTTTTTCGTGTTCCACTTAAAATAACGCTAGGGATAATCCCCTAATGGAATACTTTTTTGACAAAAAGGGACGGGCAAAACGTTGCTTGCAAAGGCTGTTGCAACGGAATGTAAAACCACCTTCTTCAACATATCCGCTTCAACCATCGTTAGCAAATGGCGAGGCGATTCGGAAAAACTGGTCAGGGTAAGATCTCTCCTCCATACCATCTCCCCCGTCACTGCCATAACCGCTAGGTGGCGAAATATTATCTCGAGAAAGGCCTAAAAATGTAAATTGGATAATTTCCGCTTCGTAATCTCTTAGGTTCTCTTCGAACTGGCTCGGTTTCATGCCCCGTCAACAATCTTCCTTGATGAGCTTGACTCCCTCATGTCCCAACGCGGTTCCTTTGGTGCAGGCGACTCTACAGGAGGGTCGCAGGGCAGCTGCGGTTCCCTAGGTGGGTCCACGGAGCACGAGGGATCGCGTCGAATGAAGACGGAACTTCTTATCCAGATGGATGGTTTGGCAAAATCAGACGACCTTGTTTTTTTGCTGGCCGCATCCAATATACCATGGTTAGTTGCTCAACTCGGTATTAGATATATACGAAGCATTAACATCTACTGACGACAAACAAGTAGACATTGTTTTTTCGAACTTTTAGGGAACTGGACCATGCTATGCTAAGACGACTGGAAAAGCGAATCATCGTGGATTTGCCAAACAAGGAAGCTCGAAAACGGATGTTTGAAAACCTACTCCCTCAGAAGCAGGCATCTTCGGAACCTGGAGGACTGGAATTGAACACGCAGATAGACTATGATCGTGTCGCTGAGGTATTTGGTGTGTATGTTGCCCATAACACGGGCAGACGGTATCTAATTTTTTATGTTGCCTACAGTCCTTATGGAAGGAACTTATTCAAGTAAACAAGGCGGACGCTTAGTATTTCATATTGTAGTGGGGAGACGCCTGAGCGTTAGAATTAAGTTTCTTCCGAACAGTAACAATTATAGCGGACAGCTGCTCCTTATTAAGTTTACATTAAATCCCCTAGGAATAGTTAGACTTGCTTAGTTAACGAGCTCCGTATTGTAGTCAATAAAAATTGATTGCAACACTGGTTACCATGGGTGACGACATTTACAGAGAACAAAGGACGTTTTCTTTGCCCTGGAAGCGAAAGAACTGTGACGCCCGACATCGCTTTTTTATAATTGTCCTACTTATCGCGTTTTCATCATCTGGGCTGGAGCAGATTACGCTATGTGTTCGGTGCGCAGAAGATGAAATGCGGTCAGCGGAGGACTTTCAGAAAAAGCAAATTCACACTGAGAACAATTGAAACCAGTTGCGAAGGTCCACGGAAGCTTTGAGTGAACTACGTTTAACCGGAGCCAGTCAGCGTACGCCAAATTATCGATCTCGTCCGCTGGTGTTGAGTTGTCAGGGAACGACCTGATGATCACTATAGAAATTCTGCATCACAGACACGAGTCCAAGAAGGAAGTGATACTTCTGGACAAACACTTATGCGTGCGATACTTGCTGGGAAGCCGGCCTACGCCCAGGGTCGGTGCAGATGCAGAGTAGGTGCAAACTAGTACTTATTTATTTCGGACCCCCACAATGGAGTGCGCTGTAGATACGCCGCACAGAAACGCGGGCTAGGCCGACTCGTAGCATGCGTTTATCCAGCTGCGCTATGCAGATGCCAACTGGAGGTAAAACTCGACCCTTCTTAGGACTGAGAGTCAAACCGTAATGGCTCCTTCTACATGTGGCACCTACCCATTCGAGATCCGAACGGACCCTACAGCAGCCTGGTACGTGAAGGAGAGATAAGTTTGTGTATGTCACACATACAGGGACTGTTTAACTCTGTCAGCAACTGCGTCCACATTCACGCCCTGACAGGGTCTTGTTACCGGGGTTGGGGAGGAGAGGGTGTAGTAGATGTTGAGCATGTCTGCTGTGCTGTGAGCAGCAGGTGTCGTCGTTCGCGGCGATCGAACTGTCGTTGTCAGCGCAAAATATGCGCGCATAGCATCTGTCGCGAAGACAAGTCGGTTCGGTCGGATCGTCTTGTGTAACGGTGATAGTTGAGGTACTTGGCCTCCCTAACGGCCTACTGCATCGCTTATATGTCTTATAGGAATTTCATGACCTCCTGTGCAGCATTCCAGAGCAATCTCACCGCAAGCTATTTTGCCCTTTTTCAGCTAACTGAGGGATACTCAGGCTCGGATATTCGTCTTGTATGCAAGGAGTCAGCCATGAGTGTGGTACGAAAAATCTTCGAGATCCTTGAAGATAACTCAGGAAATGGTCAGTTGATCTTACTTTGGCATGCGCTTTTGACGTCTGAGCAGGCTTTCCTTTAAGTTTTCTGTTTGAAGAAGTCCTCCTAAATGGAGATAACACTCATAGCCTCTTAGCAACTAACATCAAGGTGCCTTCTTAATGTGACTTCTATGACATTCTCACGCATATGGAATCCCAGCTGCCCACCGCTTTGTGTGAAATTCTGGTGTGGTGTGTGGGATGCCAGCCCATGTGTGTGTGTGCGACACGCAAAGTCGGGCTGGTTTCTGTTCGGCCAGCCAATGCGCCCAATCCCAACACCGGATGATTGACAGGCTGGAACAGTAAACTGTTGTCTGGGAGAGGGAAAAGAGAGAGAGGTCGACGGTCTTAGCGCATATTGCCCGCTATAAACAATCTAACGCGCCTGAATTTATCACGCCGGGCTAAGAACCGGGGTTGGAAAGACTGCCAACCCATGGGATCACTCAATACTCCTCCCAGGGCGTAGATACAGGCTGCAATGACTACTTGTTTATGTGGCTTTTATGGCACTCCCATCCAGTTACGATCCAAGCCTCCTCCCCCCTTTCTTGTTCTGTAAAATCCTGGCCCTTTGTGCTCTGACGAAGAGACGTGGTGTCACGCCTAGCTTCTGGCGCACGCCGCGCTAGCCACTTTCACGCCATTCCGTCTCCGGTCATCTTGACCCTGTCTTGACACCGGGGCCAGGTTTGGGAGGAGGAGCGCAGCAGATACAGCGCAAGTCTACTACCGCTATAAACTAGTCCACGCGCAATCCAACGTCTCTGAAACCACCTTGCTGTTCAGCATGGGGGTGAAATAGTCGGAATCGACGGTCAGACTGGCAAAGTAACACGCTAACGAGCATTTCACATTTCACATAAAATGACACTGTAAGTCCTTAACGATCAAAATTTTTATCAGGCTACTTGAAAACCAGTGTGGGTGTCAAACTAGTTCCGTCAAGGGCCTACCTCATCTCATTCGCATGGAACTTATATCCGCAATCAATATCAACAACTCTACCGCAGTGTTTCCTTTCAAGCTGCTCAGTTTTACATGCTCCTTGTTTAGTAGTGCATGTTATTAGTAGTTTGAGGGTGTGGAAACTGGATTTTAGCATAGAACGATCTCTCTATCACCAGTGTCCGGAGAAGGAGGTAGTTCTGAGAGAATGTCTGACAATACGTTTTCGCAAGTTTCATGATGGATCGATTAACCTGTTGTAGTAATTCAATTATCAAGAAGATTAACGTCACAGAGTATTCATCAAATCAATCCTTTTGTAAGGTTGTGAATGACGATTTTTAGTTACCGTTGCCTCGTGCTATTCCTTCGAATGAAGCAATCCCACGTAGTGTTGAGCACGTTAGTCCGCAGTCGCTTTGGCAAGATAGCGGAGATATTTCAAGCCAAACAGTGGAGATATTTAGGGCATTTGGACAAGTTCTGCGTCACCTGCCGTATGAGGTAGGTATCACTGCCCTAAATTTGACGCTGTTGGAGGCGCTGAAGAAGGGACCAGCACAAAACCTGACTCAACAAAGTCCGCGATGCCATGGAGGTGCCTTTTGAACCATCGGCCTTTGGTCGAATTTCCCAAGTGGTCGCAGATAGTCGTGAGTGAAGATATAAGTTATGGAGCCTCACTGAAACCTTATAAACAAGTACGCCTGTAAATGGAATGTATATGTCTTTGTCGGTCATGTTATTCTGCCTAAATATATACATTTATAATAGCTGAATTACGTTCACCGATCGGGTTACGGGACATGCACATCCCGTTGTTCCTTGAGGCTCAGTCTAGAGCCCACGAAGGCAGTCATATAGTGGTTATAAATATATACTGAAAGAAGTACCGGAAAAGTCACCGAAGACTGGAATTGTCATTTTTGGCTTATTAGCCCTAATCAGCCAGCCATAGCCAACCTATCCCATGTTCTCAAAAAACCTGAGTTTGGATGCGGCTATCTGGCAGCGTTGGCCTGTAGGCCTCTACACCTTTCGGCATATATTTATATAAAAGAATCACTGCCAGAACTTCAGTTTGTGAAAGTTGTTGGTTTGAGGTCTTTCGGACAAAATACAGGCAAGTGCGGCAATAAGAGAACCGACTGAGGATGCATCCTGTGTAAATCTGTAAATTTTCGGATGAGTTACTACTTCTTCCGAGACTCATTTAGCTTTGCTTCTACTTGCCTATTTTCTCTTTTTGCCCAATTTAGGTCTGAAAGATGCAAAAATCCGACTGGACACCGTCACTACGGCCGATGTGGAACGGGCCATAGCTTCAACCATGCCATCTGCCCGCGGGTTCGCTGCGAAGTACAGGGACTGGCAAGAGCGATATGGTTCGGTGTAGGGGATCTCGCTCTTCAAACCCGCTTGCCCACCCCGTGCTTGTCTGTTACATGTCTGTTTTTTGACCGCCGCATGTCTTTGTAAATACTCCCACCTGTTCATATGTTTCAGTTGATCTCCGCTCGAATAGAAGACCTAGTCGAACAACGATGATTAGTATTAAATGTTAAAAAAAACGCTTACTGAACATGTATGAGTAGAAATGGAAACAAATATTCCGTCGAACGAGGCTACTGGCCGCTGTCTGTGTTGAGTCAATATCTAATAATTTCCCGTCAAACTTCGTTTGCAGCAATAGCACTTACATGTAGTAGGGGCGATCAACCTGGGCAACAAGTGTGCTGACCATTTTTTTATCATTAATATGAAACACTTCAGCGATCACTGAGGCTCAAGGAAAAGATTAAAATTCGAGTTAAGGTTAAGACCGACACATGCAGTTTGCATCTCGAGAACCATAAACTCAGAAAGGACAACGCCGCCTTCTGCGCAGTGCAGATGAGAAGAATCAGACAATGAAGAGAGTCCAGAAATTTGGATGGCAGTTAAAGTAAGATAGACGTTATCTGCGGACATTAATTTACACACCTGAGCTTTTGGACCTGTTCTCGGGCACATTTTCAGAGATATTAAAAGACTGATAAAGCAGTTTACCTCGTGAGTTGGTCAGTCAGTCTGATCTTATGTCACTGAGGTTAGTCATATCGATCGTTGTGATAGTCGTGGATCGTCTGCTTCAGCCTGACCAATTAGTGTTTGGTGGACAGGGGCGCGAGTTTAATGCGTACGTTTAACAAGTTGCACGTCTGGATCGGCTATCGCAGGATCACTGGCGTCTTGATTGATTAGCCTTGTGTGGCATAACTACATGAAGGTGTGATTCAACTCCAGCCAGTGAGTAATTACACGACAGCCGTTGCCGAAGTTGTCTATTGTGTGCTCTACAATAGGCTGTGAGGGCAGACATGGCGATCTGTGCGTGAATTAGTTTATGGTGATAGTGGACCTTTAAAACATCTAATGCACTCTCTCCTTCTCCCCACCTGGGTCCGGTGTCAAGACAGAGTCAAAAAGACCGAAGACGGGAGAGGTCGTAGGTGGATGGCGCGACCAAACTCGCACCTGACGCTCCACTTCACACACCCTGCTCCTCTCTGCAATGGACCAGGATTTTAATTAACACCAACAATGGGGGAGTGACGGGGGTCCCAATGTTTGCGACCACTGCCGGCAACTGGGTCTGCCACCGCACCCCGAAATGTTGGCAGTGGTTATGGCGCGCATTTCGATAACGCCTGCCAGAATCCGATATGGTCCCCGCGTTGGTCTAGCGCATCTACCGCGTGGCACGTTTGGGCGGCGCGTCTTCACACAGATGATAATTACTCTCCCCTCCGAGCGGCTACTAACAGACTGTGAGGAGGATTTATCCTGAGGAACTCCACCTGGTCGCTGAAATTCGCCACGCAGGAAGATGTTGAACATGAAATAAAAACACCGGCTGGCAGCAGAACATACAGTATGACCGGCATATCCTAGCAAGACAGACAAAATGTAGGTGAGCAATACGATGGGGAAGTGCCAGATGTTAAAAGTCGAATCTGGTAGGCTATTTTGCGAACTTCGCTAAAAAGGATAGAATAAAAAGGAATGAATGGCGCACTGGCAACTGAGGAAAACTAGTGCATTTGGAATCAGCGTTGTCGTTCGGAGAAAGTTCAAATGCAGAAAACCCAAAACGCCCTGACTAGATAGGCGGTTGTGTTGGGAGTGCCTACACTCCCAAAAACAAGAGCCAGCCAATCGCTGGAGGCCACGTGCGTCTTGTCTAGCACGCCGTCAGTATGATGGTGGCGCCTCGCCATTGGCTGCTCCCTTCAAGCCTGATTGATCCGTGTATGTGAGTAATCGATCAGCTCTTCTAGAGTGTTCTTTTCGAAAAGCATTGGACCGAATGCAGACAAACCCCAATAGGGTGTTATAAATACGCATTATTTTTCCAGTTAGACTTGACTTGCAGTTTCCTAATACACTACTTTGTGACCGGTCGTGCTTCCTCTGCCGCGTTGGTAGTGGGAACATGAGTCGAGTGCGCATACGTTCCGCGTAATTTCCAGTTACCAGCCAGGGTCATAACAGTTTGTCAAGATGATTTTCGGCACAATGGCACCAGAATGGTTTGATAGCATGAATTCCTCAGGAAACCTAGGGCTGTCATTAAATTATTAACTGCCAACAGTCCGCGACACTCAATCCCCTTCACAGGAAGAGGACTATGATCCTGTTCAAAAAGTATTGTCGAATTCGAAGGGTTGTTTGAGTACGCAGAAAAATCTCGATCCTCAGGAGAGTTTCATCCATGTTATGTCGTTTAGAAGACAGGTTGTTTGTCATCATTCACAGCTAAATAAAATCAAATTGGAGGGAGTGATAAAAATGCCCTTATTCAAAACCTCAGAGAAATAACAGTATATCAAAGCCAGGAGGAACACTGCGGTCGCTTTTCAAAAATGATCGCGAGGCCCGAGGTCCCATAAATGCAGATTCCGATCCCGGTTGATTCAGTTTCATTCAGTACAATCTGCAGAATGCTGATGACTCCCAATCAACTGAATCTATTGTGGTAGAGCTACACCTGAGAAAATCGTTTAAAAGTGGAGTGGACTACGTGAGAACAGTTTGCTCGGCATCAACATACTGGAAGGCCAGAAGAGTGAATGTGGGGTGTGACAAACAGTATGTTTTCCCGCGAGCTGCGAGTCCGCCATCATGAACTTCGGCCCAGGCTTAAGTGGTCTGTTGTGTTTTACAACGCAAGGCACCTTCTGCGTTCGTTCAATGCCTGAATCTACTTCCTCACACAAACAACTCACTCCTTAGAAATCAGTGACGAGGGGGGGTGCTATTGCAGTTGGGAAAGGTGTAAACAGGCGGTGGAAAGGAGGAGGAGGAGGAGCAAAAAGAAGTCAGCTTAGGCAAATTGACGTTTTTTAATTAATAATTACCAGGTACTGCCGCTAAAATACGTCTCATTGGTGAGAAAAAAGCCAGACCGATTCCCTCCATGTTGCAGGCCTGCGCACAGCGGTCAACGCCTTTTCGGGCCCAGGACGGTAGCAAATTCAGCTGACTCACCACCGGACTGGAAACGACTCATTAGCATGCAGGTAAACAATGTGTGCCTCTAGAACAAAGCAAATTTTGCAAGCCATCGGAATGTGGAGGTAATAATCGTCCAAGTCCTCAAGTAATCAAGTAGAATTCGACAGGCAATTTGGCGAGCATACGTCTGCTTTCGATAAATTCTCTTCAGGCCTGTACATTTATATGGCTATTGAAGTAATGCATTAAAAGATACGGGCGAGTAGATAATTGAGATGTAGCTCGGGTTTGGGGAGGGGAAGAGTGAAACACCATAATTCCAGTCAGCGTCAGGGAGAAGGTGGGTCTCAGCGAAGGTAATTACATGCGGGTGGCTGGCTTGGTGGCTTTGAAGCATGGCAACTGTGGGACCTGTATGAAGTTCTTCTGTGCTCACAGGACCGGTTCGCATAGCCTGATTGCAGCCAACTCTGCCGTAGCCAACAAGCGCTGCTCAAATAGTTTTGGATAGTTTGATGGGACCTTGTTTATAACTCTGAAGGCCTCTCTGACGCCTACACGGTGGTCTGTGTCTCCCATGTGCGCGAGGATCGAGCTGCTAATGTTCTTTATTTGTCCCTTTCCTAACAATGTTGGGAGATGTTCTTTTATTCTTTTGGATAAACGCCGGCTCGTGCGACCAATATATTCTGTCCCACAGGAGCAGGTGAAGGAGCAAGTACACAGAGAGGTGGTCTGAGCTGGTAGTTTGTCCTTGTCCTCTCCTTATAGGATGTAACTGGTGGAGAACAGTGCACGGGTGTCAGCTGCTAGAAAGGTCTGTGATACAGCTTGAGTTAGGCGTCTTTTTAAACTCTAAGCAAAGAGGCATGAGAATTCTGAGCTCGTAGATCTGTCGGGCAAAGATAGCATTCCGTAGACGACGCGAATCCATGGGAGATAGAGGCGGAACGCGAGTATTAACCCCCCACATCCCTGCGCCCGTGCGGTGGGAGGTTAAATTACTTCGGTCTAAGGGGCGGACGCCTAAGACGCATGCCTTTGTTATGTTCTGCCAATCCAAATGCGAAAGTGGAATGAAGATGCGACGTTGCTTACGACTTATTGCACCGAGCATTTTAAGTATCTATTCGAGACCTCTTGACAGACGGAACGAAGCATCCAACGAATAGTCAGGGATCGATCTCATGAAATGTAGGCCGAAATTCTGAAGTGCGTTTTTTTATTAGGAAGGATTACCTAGGTGGGGTTGTAACACCAATTATTATGCGGCATAATCCCATAATATTTCAGATTCGCCGGCATAATGGCCTTTGGAACTATTTTTTTCGACCTCCAACGAAAACCTCGCTCGGTAACAATGACCGCTTAAGTAGTAGGCATTTTTCGCATTGATTCTCGATGCCCTTTATAATTTCAAACATATTTTACAGGAAATGTGCGCAAAAATATTTCTTCTTACGCTGATTTGGTAGAAAATCACGTCTTCACATTTTACGCTCGAGGAAACTGTGACTTTTGTTTTAGAAAGTTTATAATTATGAGGTTTTGAATACCAAGCAGTATGCATTCCTACAGCAGCGTACCTATCCGTTTAGCAATGCCACTTATGACGTATAAAACGTGTTTGGCATCCAGTCCAGAATTTTACCAGCTCTACATGGTATCTTTTTGAAAGCCTAGTAAACTCTATGATTTGTCCTACGCAGAAAGTTTACATCTTGTAGACTGAAATCGCTAAACGCTAATGAGACGGCTGATCTGGTTCAAAATTATTCGAGGATTGGGAAATTTTTCAAAACCTAAATATACCTTTTCTTCGAGTATACAATGTACAGGAGAGGTGATTTACTGCCAAATGAGTAAAAGAAGGCCTTTTTCGTTCATTTTTCCTATAAAATACATTTAAACTCATAAGGGTAACGAAAATCAATGTGAGAAATGCATACTACTTAAATAGTCATTTTTATTAAGTTGCTTTCTGCACCTGTCCAATACCTGTTAATCTCTATGGTAATCACTGTGTACTGGAGAACCGTTTTTGCTGAAAGTTTTGAAAGTTATTTTCAAAATAAAGCATTCCTCTCTCTCTCTCTCTCAAAAAAAAGAAATGCATTCAGAATTTATCGTCCCAGTGAGTCCAAAATATGGTGGGATTATGCCAAACATCAATCAGTATTGCACAACCTCCTAAGTAATCTGTTCTTACCGACAACGCATTTCGGGATTTCAGTCAGCATCTCATGAGATCGATCACTGACTGTATTTTACTTGTCCCATTCTGTATAGAAAGATTACTGGTGAGGAACGAATAGCACTGGGCGCAACAGAACCGGAGAATTCCATGTTGTAAGATGACAAAGTAGTTGCACAATTCTAAGGGATATGAGCCTTTCCGTGACCAGGCTAGGCTGAGCACATCTGAAAATATGTGGGATTAGATCCCAATCAGGCAGGGTTTCGACTCAACTTGAAATTATCGCACGTTACTTTGGTCCGGACTTGGAAAGCTACAACCACTGCATATGTGGGTCATTTTGGCGAAAGCATGTCGCGGAGGATTGGCAAAGCAGCAGTAACAGAATCTATGAGGCTGAACTTTCACGTAAATATGATCTCTGAATTTCTCTTTGTTTTTTATCCAAGCTAGGCTTTCGAGATACAAATCCACTGTTGCACTAGGCATGAACTTTTGGAGGCACAAGCTTGGTCCGATTTGCGGAAAAGGCCCTTTTTGTCCGTATGTTTACAGTAATGTGAGGTATAGTTGTTGGGTGGGAAAATCATTAGCTGAGGAGGAGTAGACAGGGCGTGAAGTATTTATTCGCGTGTCCAGTTTAATGGGTTGAAGGACTGGACAGCCTTGTTTGAAGTGGTCAGTCCGAGGTCAGGTTCCTCCTCATTACTCTCCTGAACCGCCAGATGGACGGTGATCATCAGGTGGAGAACACAGAAACATTCCGACTTGCTAAACGGGGAAGATAAACTGATCGAGGACATTTAGTTACTTCTTTAGGACGTCTCGTGCCTATGAAAGCCTTCGTCTACGTCCTGCAGTTTCAATAACCAAAAGATACCTCGCACGCACCGCCAAATCCGTAGGCGAATCAACTAACAGGCAGCAGGCCACAGCAGCCGACTGACCGTACCTACTTCAGACCCAGACGTGTAGCAGAGATTGGACGGAGGCTTTACGACGCGCCAACTACTGCATCCCATCGTGTCTCCTGTAAAGTACGTGACCTATCTCGTGAAATCTGATAACGGAAACTACTGAGAGGATTTCTGGACACCTTTAACGTCGCGTATTTTGTTCGATCATCCACGTCCTTCAATGAAACGTCCTTTTCTTGTGCAAAATTAGCGTTTACGTAATTATATCAAGTAGAATATCAGTAAATGTTAGCGAACATGAACGTTGGAATATATTTGAGCAATTTCCTATGCTAATACATGTCCTTGACTCCGGTTACGCACCTGAGTGATTTTTTCATTGAAATGATAGTAGTTTATCCGCGAGAGTTTTAATAAACAGATTTAGCCGGACTTGAAAATTTACTTTTGTCCGATGTTAACCATGGTGATCAACCTGCTAAAAAAGGTTACTTTAAGAAAACCAGAGGTTTTACCAATTGTTAAATGTCAAATTAGCAGTTCTGTGCGATTTGGTGCCCATATCATTTACTTCAAACAAATAAAAAAGGAATCAGTGGGAAACTGTTTTGGAATCCACATTCAGAATGTAGGCAGTTGACATATAGTCATATATGAAATCGCACTACTTATTAAACGATATTTAGATGTAAACTTCACTAAAACACTGTTATTAGACGTTATTCTATGTCTACTTTCATATTTACTACGTTTTTGGTATGAAAATACATTCTATACATCTAAAAACAAACTTCACTTAATTAGGGCCATTTCTGACGTTTTCGGTATATTGCACTTTTAAAAATAAGTCGACATTTCTAAACAACACAACACTGTCTTTAACATTTCTTTTATGTTTTCAATTCTTTTAAACTTGTACTTAATTAACATAGAAATCGGACTCATGAAATGGTGTCGGTTTGCGAGGGATTGACAATCATTCGTAAATTTCGACACATTTCATAAGTTAGGTCACTAACTGTAGGCCCGACGCTAAAATGTTGTTGGAAGACAAAATAAACTGGAATGCATTCAGCGCGTGTCCGGAAGGGACGCAGTATGCGACTAAACTTTGCGCATTACGCATTACAGCCTACTGATTCTTACGAAAACAGTATTGTTTAATTAGGGTATACTGATTTCTTTTTTTTCAAGAAAACAGTAATTTTCGCTTAAATATCACATTCAGATTATTTTCCGGTTGATATACACACTAATTTGGCATACTTTACTCGTGCTGGCAACCTTGGCGGCTTCTCTGTATTCCGTTGTTCTGCATCATTATGTCGTGCCGTTAGGTCAACGTCCCCACTTTACTCTCGTGGGGTTCGCCAACGTCATTCGTCCTTGGGTTTCTATTGGCTGTGTCACCGTCCTGATCACTGAACGTGGCGTCTCATTTTGCAGGCGCTGTATTTAGTTTTCCTTGGTTTTTCGGTATTAAATTTCACTAGCACTCAATTTTCCGGGTCGCTTTCAAGGTCATGCAAGGATCTATTAGAACCTATAAATTAGAGCATTCTTCCACAACTTCATCCTTTTCATCACTCTCTTCCCCATCCATTAGCTCTGCCCATATAGCCTCCCACTTCAACCGCTCTCGTAAGACACGATGACCTATCCTCCACATTCTGGATAGGGTCACATATTGCGTCGTTAGTGAAGGTCCGCTTCACATTTTATTCAGAACTATCAGGAGGCGCCAGAGTTGTAGTTTGGAAGGCTGCCAGCTTACCCCTCCTCCTCCCCTCAAAACGAGGATCAGACTGCAATGGTTCCCTCTTAAAACGGCCTTTGCGACATCTCTTTTCACTTACGGATCCGAAACCTTTTTCACCGACACCTCGTTCATGTGGGTGTAACGACCTTGGACCTTGCACCACCACTCTTGTATCATTCGTGGGTGTAGATTCAGTCTCGTCAACTGGTACGCCAGGCTTATTTTTAGATCTCTGCATTTTATCGCATCACCTGAACAGTTTCGGTGTGGGAGGAGTTCTTGCATAAGTTAATTCTCCGCTGACAGTGTTGATCCGTGTCGCGAGCAACAGCTGGGGTCTGGGCATTAATCCGTGTTTTAGGAACTTGGGGACACACTCTACATTTGGTGCCTTTCAAATATGGCAGTTCGACTGTCATGCCCGACGATATCCATGGTGCGCTCCACAACAAGGTGGGGAGGGCACGGCGACTTGCAAGTGAATTAGTTTATAGTGAGACTTGCGAAGCATCTACTGCACCCTCCACTCCTTCCCACCTGGGTTCGGTGACAAGACACAGGCAAGAAGACCGGAGGCGAGAGCGGGCGCAAGTGGCCGGCACGGCCGGACCCGCACCTAGGCGTACCATCACACAACCTGGTCCACAATAAACAATTGACCAGGGTTTTAACCAACAACAAAAACAGCACCACAGCGAGGCAGAAAGACAAGGATGACTGGGCGCCATGCTGGTTCTAGAGAACTGCCAGTTCACACCAGGCTGCGAGGACCATGGTTTGTTGCATCCTGGCATAGCAGATGCTTGCATACCTTGCGTCCAAAATCAAGAAGTCTGCTTATGCCACTCCAGGTCAAGTACCTCGATCGGAGTATTCAGCCAGACACGGAAATATTCTCCCCTCTACTGCACTACAGGTGACCCTGCGCTAACTTCCAGATGGTGCATATTCCCTTTTCCTCCTAACCGTTACTCTTATAACATCCTGGAAATACGCGCAAGAAAACCTGCAATATGGGAGGCCCATATTCCAGTGTTCTGTCGAGAACTCACCGGAAACTGCCAGTGACTGTGCCAGATTCTGGGGGAAAAAACAGGCTACATACATGAAGTTCTGTCTGACGTATCGATTCTGCGGTTGGTAAGCAAAGTCACATACATGCCAGGATTGCGCCGTCCTCCATCTCCTCCTCTACTGCTTCTATCATGTGTACAACAGTATGTGAGTAAAAGGTATCGGCGCAACAATTTGAACTCTGTCTCAGACCACCTGTACATTATGTCGAACGTGCTAGCAACGCAAAGGTCCTCCCTCGAAAATCACGCGGGATCACCATAAACCCCTCCCCTGTCTGTACTCAGGCAAAAGGACGTGGCCACAACTTTCACCCTGACAAAAACACAGTAAATTTTGGTCTTCATGACTTGTAACCTCAAGTCGCCTGTACTTTTACTCAGAAAGAGGCAGCATACCTGACAAATTTCAAGGGGAATATGGTCGAACGTTTTGCACATATCCCGTAAATATTGCAAGAAATTATGGCATTACTCTTTTGGTTTATTAGTCACCTTGGGGACGGGGGGTGGGGTTAGGTTAGTGGGTGTGCTCTGGTTATCAAAACAGAGAATTAAATCTACATTAGGATTAAGAGAGAAAGATAGTTGCCCAACACACTCCTTGGTAGCTAACACTGTTACCAGTTCGCGGCCGACATGGCGTTAGAGAATGCGCACATTTGCCAGGCAAGGCTTTGTGCGGTGAGTGATTTAATACGCCACAGGAATAGGAACACCCCTTATTACCCATGGCTTTGCGCTAGACTAGTTATTATTGTATAGTCAAAAAACCTCATGCTAGTTTTCATTTCCCTCTATTAAACGGCCCCGGAATCAGTACAAAGTTTCCCTAGTCCTCACTACAGTGAGGGAACAATCAAGTCATTGATGCCACCGGGAACAGTGTAAGGTCGGTCTCCTGTTATCAGGCCCGTATGGGATTAGGAGTAGGGGGGAGGAGGAGGAGGAGGAGGAGGAGGAGGAGGAGGAGATGTTTGCGGCGGCGGCGGCGGCGGCGGTGGTGGTGGTGGTGGTGGTGGTGGAAGAGAAGGAGGAGAACACGTCCTCCGATACATGTTTCTTTGTGGTCTAGCATTTCTGGAGACTAGACAATGGATTCCTCTGGCTTTCAAAAATGAACTCTGTTAAAGTAGCGAAATGCTGTTGTGCGGCTGCTGTTTAGAAGCCAGATGAAGGTCAATGAGGCAACAAGTCAGTAAAAAAATTCAATTGACCCGGAAAGTACAGAAGTTCCAGCTCGCACGCTTATTCTGATTAAGGGCACGCCGACTTCCGGCACAATCCGGAGACCATGGTAAATCCGACTGACATCTATTTTACCTGCCCAGTCCACGGAGGCTTGACCCTTTAGCCTACACGTGCACTTATTTCGTCCGTTCATCCAGAACAATCGCTAACCCTCCGTACAAATCCGTCTACCGGAAGATTTCACGAGGGGAGGAACCGCCTCGATGACCCCGGAAGTGAATTCAACTCTACCACTCTCAGAAAAATGCATCCTGCGGTATTCAACACTCCGGACATTCAATAGACCGTTCATTTTTGATGTGAATATATTCTTGCTGGTCGTAGGGGCATCTAATAGCACCTCTAAATCCTAAGGGGTGTGGCATCGATGACCGAGGGCACTGTCCCCATGAATATGCGATCTAAATAGGCTTGACTACATTGAAGGTGAGCGTAATCGAGCTAGTTCCGTGGAGCAAAAAGCGTTAGATTTCTCATCGTGAAAAACCGGACTGCCCATTTCTGCAGTACAGACAACTGACGAAAAACCACTGCAACCTCCGGAACCTCACATACCCGAAATCCTCATCCCGTCGTCGATACGTACGCCCTTCAACGTCGAAATCTCGGTTAGGTCGCGGTAATGACTCATCGCGCACACTGATAGTTTGATCGTCGCCGCCAACTACAGTCACCGTCTTCTCCACGGCAAAGTGGACGCAGGGACGGTTTCTTGCGCGTGAGTTGGTTTTTTGGTGATTGCGGACTTGCGAAGCACCTATCGCACACTCCCACGCACACTAAGATTGCTCCGAGCTTTTAATTATGTCCAGTCATCCACTTGGCTTTCAGAGACCTTCTTGCCATTAGTCCGCAAGGATAAATTCCCGGGAATTCGCCTTCGCTTTAAGGGGACGAAAGCACGCGTACTGGTCACAACGAATGCATCTTAAATGCCCTCTAGGATCTGGCATCAGTCCTATGATAAACAACTGCTACTAGGAATTCCCTGGAATTCGTCTGTCGTCTCGATCACCCCGGCCATTACACAACAGTGAACGGTTCTTGGTTCACCTGAACAGGTCTTTTACATCTCTAGCGTTCGCAACCCTTTTTTCCTCTGTCAGATAGCAAAAGGACCCCGCACGATGTACTAGGCATTCACAGAGGACAGCTCGGATCTCACTGGCGGGGAAGGGATAAAAGCTACACTAAGCAGCCAAGGAGCCCGACTGCCAGTGCTGAATCAACTGTTCAGTTGGCTGCCTTCCAGGCCACGGCGCGTTGGATTTACTAGAGTTTCGAATGAGAGTATTCGAATCCTACCTATCGACGTCATCCTTTCTTCTTTCTCCCATGTACCAATCAACTGTCCAAGCCTATCAGTCGTCTGGGGCTGGGGTTGGGCGCTATGACTAGCACGCCATGAAGCCTACGCCTAGGCGCGCCAACACGCCTCCCTCCGTGCACGACAGTAGTTATGGGATGCACGGACTCATCACAGCCCAATTAACGCATGCCGCGATCCAGTCTGGTCCCTCATCTTGGTTGTCCCTCCCATTTACAGCTCAGCCCCTAGTGGGGTACACTTCACGTTCACACTTTGGGGAAAATTAGCATGAAATCACTAAGTATATTAAGCAGATACAGAGACAGTTGGCAGCCAAGTCAGCTCAGCGCTTAGCCCATTGGCTTTCAAAATCGGAAAACCAAATCTCCGCTCTTCTAACACTAGTGTAAAGGACAGATATTTTTAGTTAGATTTGTTTTAATTCCTTTGTTAACGTTCTCCTGAGCGACATTCCGCTTCCTTAGAAGCCACGGTGACGGATCACCAAACGGACGTGCAGAAGGTGGAAATCCGCGTACCGACACCTGGACAAGAAGGAGGATAAATCGGAAGAAGGCTCAGTCATATCTTCTGGTTTTACTTACTCCATTGTCGTTCCCCCCTTTATCATTTGACCCCCGAACCACGAGTCGCCCGTTCCCAATCCTCAATTTAATACACGTTCCGTTGTCGACAGTCCATTTCTGATATTGTCTGTTGGAATCCGTGTGATCTGACTTACATGCCCCCCCCGTGCAAGGCAGAGACATAATGGATATGTCTACTAGGACCCCTTCAGACGGACAGTCCCGATCGCCTCCCAAAGACCTCGTTACAGGAGAGACTAAACCTTCAGGTAACTCGGGTATTACAACTAGACACCTCCTTGATAGTGGTAACTCTGTTAAGCAAAATGCCGCCTTATGAGTACCTGTTTACGCATGAAAAAGTGACATACGGCATCATTTGAATGCAACCTACGAACCGGGGGAGAAACCTGACTTGTGCTTTTGAAAGAATAATTGTGCCGTGAGAGCGCATGAAATCGTCACCAAAGTCCAGACGGGCGCTATGGTAGGCTCAGTTAGTCATCGCGAACGTAGAGCACCCACTTGCCGCAAACGCGTGACGCAAATGAACTCTTAAAGTACACAGGGCGATCCAGACGGACTACTGGCGGGTCCGGTCTTACAATCATCCACGTGTGGAGACGCCAAAAATAGGAATGAACCAGTAGTTGATCTCACTATTATAGTTTGTCCACCGGCCTCCGTGAGGA